ATTGCATCCCATTTATTGAAGCCGAGTAAAAAAATTTATGATGAATATCAAAAACAATCCAAATAAGTAGATATACGGAGCTTCACAAAAACTAATTGCCTAATTCATTTCTGGATGAAACTATGATGAAAATGGCTTTTAATCGTACTGAAATTTGCCAAGCAAAAAAACTTATGGTTACATCGTTATTTTCGAAGCATGAAACTGATGATTGAAGATAGCTGAATCTACAAAACACTGGGAAGAAGACAGCCAAATGAAAAAAAACAAGAAAAACATTCCAGAGACAAGCATTTTTTAAACATTTCAAAGACAAAACACAGGCAACATACAATCAGAATAGAGTCAATGAAGGCAAGAAAATAAAAAATAATTAAATTCGAGCTTCCAAGCCAAAAAAAAACTTATTGGCCTTAAGCTTTTTGAATTTCAAGAACACTTTATGATTGATTTTTTTGCTAAAATTAACTGAATTTGAAATAACTAGATCGATAGGTAAGTTTTTCGGTTCCCAAGCTTATCACCCCCGCGCTTTTTAACCCCCTTTTTCGTAACCCCATCTCCCTCTCTCATATAACCCCGGAATTAAATAACCCCACAACAATTTAACCCCGTTTTAAAAACACTTGCTAGAATCAAAGTAAAACGTATTTGAAAAGGATTTGGAACCATAGCCTCCGTAAACATCAAAGCTTTAATTGCGAAAAACTTTGCGAAACAACGAAATAACATGCAAGCTGCTAAATGCGGTTTAGATTTGAACAGAAATGACCTTCCGATAGTATAGACTTTGATCTCAACTTGAAAACGAACTTAAAATCTACAAATTAGTAACCGATATCGATTAGATTTTTCAAAAAATGAACATGATCTTGCATAAACTCCAGCCAATAATAAATGGTCTTGCAGATTAATTGACTGAATTTAATTGAATTATGGAATGAAAACTGGTTATGACCAAAAAGTTGATCTAAGCCGATCTTTTTGAGTTCAAATACCGATCATTTTAAAGTAACACTTAACTAATTTTTCTAACCATCTACTGTTTGTCAACTTTTTTTTAAATAACGGTATACAACGCAATGTCTGAAGGGTTTGCCAGCCCCTAGTTCCAACCTAGCGTCCCATCCAAAGGAGCTATTGTTCCGGGATTAAATTGCTAAAGACAGCATTTTCCAAATGCTAGTCAAGTCAAGGCGTTTTTCATGTCTCCGGGAGGCTGCAAGGAGACGTCTTTTCAGTAAAAAGTAACATAAAAAGTTTTAATTTAAAAACATATGCAAAGAAGAAGAGAACAATCATTTAACTCAAGTTCGCCATAGCGCCAAAGAACTGCAAATCAGTTTGTTCTTCGTAAACATGCATAAAACTCTTCTTTTTCATTTAGCACCCGGTACTTTTTCTTTTTTTGTAAATTGGTGCCCACTCGAGCCGTTACAGAATTTAAATTTTTGGACGGAAGCGTCTATTTGCAAATTTGCAATCACTGTCCATATACTGGGATGCGTTTCACTGAAAAATGACTGTAAGACATAATGCCAGTCCTCTACAGAATTTGTTGTTCTGGCCAAACTGGATGATGCCGCATCTCTTTGATTCCATAGTGAAGTAGGGAATATGACTTCTCGATTCGGGGACTGGACTTTTTATCTACTTGGATCCAAAATAAAGGCATAGATCGTCAACTTTTGCGATTTTTCCGACTCTTGTATGGTACACGATCGCATACTATTTGAATTTCTTCGACTACTTAATCGTATAAATTTCCTATTTCTTCTTCTTTTTCGAAAGTCAGTGAGGGAAAAATTTTAGAAGCTTAAGTTAACTCGTGGTTTGTTTTGTTATCTTGTTTTAATCCGAGTTCCGCGATTTTTCTTATATAACTTTGTGAAAGGTGAAAAAACATCCCCAGAGCTTGGACTCTGGAAAACTTTACTGAAACGCTTGAATAGCGGCTTGCTGAAAATCAAGCAAATCTTTTTCAGGCAAACTATCAAGGGCTAAATTTTTTAGGGATTCTAAGAACCGGTGGTAGGTTTTCGTTTTATTTGGTAGAAACGCATATATACAAGCGAAGGCTATTCCTGAGAGACTAATTTTTATAGAGTAAAGTTGATAAAACAACTTTGTGGTGACTTTGAACTTTCCGTCAGCCAACCAAAAGTTGGAATTTTCCAGCACACGTAGCGTTTCAGTGTCGGCGAAAAAAATTATCCTCTCATGATCACTTTGTCCGCTGTCAAATCTAATAAAATTTTTGAAAAGTTCGGGTATTTCGAAATTTCTGCTTGCTGAGGAGACTGGCAAGACTTGTTCTCGTTGCTTGCGCACTCGCTGCGCAGTTCGAACTAAATTTTCTTTTGTTGGTAGGGGTAGCTGAGTGGCAATTTCGTCTGTTATGGGCTGAATTGCAGTTGCGACGGCTGGGGTATTATATCGCTCAGATCCTTGATGTTTTTCAAAACTATTCCAGCATCAGGTTTGCCCGCGAAAATAACGTGATTAAGTGCAGCTCTCGTTTCAATAAAATTTTCTTATCCGTAACTGCTGTTGCGCGGTATTTAAGAGTTGGGTTTTTTTGCGCATTTCCACTTTGTAGTTGTTTTTATTTTTGCCTTTAAGGCAATACTAGTGGCGTAATATCACTAGTATTTGTTTGTCTTTCGAAGATAAAGTCAAATGGAAAACGCTTCAAACAATTTAGCTCATAGAATGGTATAACAATGGTTAAAAATTAGGCAGTATAAGTTTTTGAAAAACTGGCAAACATCTTTTGTTGCCTTCAATTAGCACCATGTAGGTTATCTCGGTTTTAAGCGCGTGAAACAGGAATTACATTTTTGGCTAATCAGGATTATTAGGATTGAAAATGAAAAGAAATCGAGCATAGCCAGCATACAGTTGGAATAGAGTCAATGAGAGCATATTTTTGAAAAATACTTAACTTTCTTCTCTCAAAATAAAAAAAAAGAGATGGCCGCAAGGCTCTTTGAATTTCTCGAAAAAATTATGATTGACACTTTTTGACCACTTAACCAAATTCGAGAAAACTGGATCAATGGTAAACTTTTACTACTGCTGGAAAATTTTATGATTAAAACCCACTTCCGAATCAAGAAGTTGTTCACGTTTTTCGTGACCGTACACATTTGCTGTTCCATAATAGAGCTTGCGTTACTTTAATAAAGGGCAAGAACTGGACTTAAAAAGAAAACAGAAGTAGAAACAAAAAATATCAACATAAAAAAACGGAAAACTCTTACGACCTAATTCAGCGACCTCATTACGTTTACTGAGACTTCAACAAGATTCAACATTTTTGAACCTTCAATTTTCAACAAAAAACATAGCCAGCTGACAGCTGGAAAAGAGTAATGAACGCAAGGAAGCAAAAATTCTGACTTGTCTTTTGAAAACAACGTTTGAATTTCGAAGAAATAGATGGCTTTAATGCTCTTTGAACTTGGTAGAACAATTTATGGTTGACACTTTTTAATAAAATTAACCCAAATTGAGAAAACTGGATCAAAAGATTTAAGCTTTATTTTGCCATGAAATGTGATAATTAATTTCCATTTTCGAAATTAGAAATCGATCACGTTTTTTCGCGCTATTTCAGCTTTCATAATTGGAGAGTGCACTTTGCCGACCTTCTTGCAAATGAACATAAATTGAAATCAAAAAGTGCATATATACCTAAGGGCATTCATATGTGCATTTCTGAATATGAATGCACTTCTTTTGTTATTAGAGCATTAAAAAATCCATTTAGAGATAACTGAGTCAACAGAACGTTAACGGTCAGAGGTAAAACATCTTTGATGTCTGGGAGTCGATATCTTCAATGGGGCAAAAAAAAATTTTGTGAAAAACTATTATTTCGATCAACAAAAATTGACTGAATAAAAAAACAACACCAACCATAAATAATCCTTTTTCTTCGAAAGTCGAAACAAGAAGTAGAAATAGGCCTCAAATTTGATTCTCACGCCCTAACCACTCACCGACGGATGCTTAAAAGCCCCAAAAACTAGCCACCAATAACGCAGCTACATATGCTAACAAATTGCCAATTCGAAGCCGGAAAATAGGCACTAAATACAAGCAGACACATTAGCATGTAATAAATTGGAGAGCATAAAGCCAAATTATGTATAAATTATGTTTTTCACAAATATTGCGAGATATGTCGAGTTTAAAAAATTCTGAAAATGAGTTTTTATTATTGTACTGATATTTAGAAGCAAAAAACTTTTTTCGGTTCTTTTGAACAATGAGAAATTCATCAACTGTGTTAACTTATTACTAATCGAATTTCAAAGCACATGTGATCAAAAAGCTTTGAAGGTGCCCCAAAAAAAATTCTGAAAATGAGTTTTTATTATTGTACTGATATTTAAAAGCAAATAATTTTTTTCGGTTCTTTTGAACAATGAGAAATTCATCAACTGTGTTAACTTATTACTAATCGAATTTCAAAGCACATGTGATCAAAAAGCTTTAAAGGTGCCCCCAAAAAAATTCTGAAAATGAGTTTTTATTATTGTACTGATATTTAAAAGCAAATAATTTTTTTCGGTTCTTTTGAACAATGAGAAATTCATCAACTGTGTTAACTTATTACTAATCGAATTTCAAAGCACATGTGATCAAAAAGCTTTAAAGGTGCCCCAAAACGTGGCACCAATATTTGCGACTTGGGTTGGAAAAAAGAGAAAGGTCGTAATACAACACTTTGCAACTTTGCTTCGCAAGTTAAAAATTACTCAATTGATCCCATTTACCTGAGCAAAAAAACATCAACCGATTTTGAACAAACTGATACAGTAAGTTTTCAAGCACACGAAAACATGATTTTTTACGCGAAAATGAGACATAAATTCTGTAAATTCTTGAGGTAGTTTATGCCTTAAAATTATTTCTGAAATTGGTAACTTGCTCTTTTTGTTAATTATGTATGTTCCATCTTTTTGTTACTTATTTTAACATAAGAATCCAACCTGTTTCCTTATAAGGAAATCAGACACCCATTTCACATTTGGGTCATCCACGTTTTCTTCTGTTTCCCCGATACCATCATTGCTGCCATTCTTAGAAGCATTTGGACCAGTAGCAGAGTCATATTCAACATCGGCACAACCATTCAATGTACCTAAAAGCAGAAGTTGATTCTCATCATAGCGTACTGCATAAACCAATTTATATTAGTAAAAACAAATTCAAACAATGGAATGATCAGCTGATGGACCCATTGAGTGAATATAATATTTTTGTCATTAAACCTGAAACAGCCCGAAAATCCGATAGTCGTAGAACCTACAAGATAAAGTAGATTTTACAAAAAAATTCATTAAATTTGCGTCACAGATTCAAATTACTATACCCCGTATCATCTCATCAGTTTCAATAAGCTCTACTCCTGTTTTATCACTGTTTATTACAGTTGATAGTTGAGGATCGTTACTCTTGGAAGCACAAGGCGAAAAAAGGACATAGTTCAGAACAGCTACAACCCGAGGTTAAAAACAAACTTCTTAAGTCAGACTTATGTCTTATATAGGAGTATCTTGGGGATGAGCGGCGATTCAATTTCCAAATGAATTTCCAATATTTTGTCCAAATGAAATTAACCTGACCAATTTTCCAAAAACTTACCAAAAAGCTGTGGAAACTTTTTATGCTGATGGTAAATACTTTAAGAATATAAGCCACCGAAAAGTTTTTGGGCAGTTTTTTTTACAAAGGGTCTCGCCAACAATCATTTTTTTTATTCGGTTCGAAATCTCCCCAAAAAATTGTTCAAAGTCCCTCAAAATTTATTGCCTGATAGATCCCAATTAAGGATAGTTCCTCGCTGCCTTTTCATAGCAGAAACAGGAGTAACAGTTAAATCAATTGCACTATACCATTAGAACTGGGAACTGCTGTTTGTGTAGCTGTTGTTGTTTGTTTGAGTCTGAGTTGCATACACGTGCAGTTAATCTTCTCACAAACTTTCTTCAGAGTGGAAACACTTTCGTCCAAATCACTTTTCAACAAACCCAACTCGTCAACTTCTAAATAAAGCAAAATTAGCACAGCAAGTTATTTAAACAATTATTTTTAAAAAAAATGAACCATTTTTTTTTCAATTTGGGTCGTTAAGTTTGTGCGTAGAGCAACGAGAGGAAAACTAGACAATTAGTTAAGGGTTCAATTGATTATTTGAAAACGGATCGAGCAAAACGGAGCAAAAACCAAAAACATAGTCAACAAACAGTTGGAAAAATGTAAAGGAACAAGGAAACCGAAAAAAGTCGATTGAGAACTTTTCAACATTTTTCAACTTTCAACAAATAGATGACAATGAAGCTCTTTGAAGTTCAAGACATTATTATGACCGGCACTTTCTACTTAAAGTAATCCCATTTAGAGAAAAATGGATCAATAAGTAATTTTTTATTCGGCTAGGAATTCAGAAAATTAATGTTGAGTTTTGAAAGTAGAATTGATAACGTTTTTCGGAACCTTTCCCTTTTTACTGCTAGATAGTAGAATGTGCCTTCCTTTAAAAAAAAAAGGAGATGAATTGAATTCGAAACTCAAATCTGGAAAAATCAAATTTGAGCGAGAAGAAATTTTGATGACTTTTTCCTGAAAAAAAAAACAAAAAAAATCATCGAGACCAATGTAATTAAAAATCACTTTGATCTTTTACACTTGAACAATCAAAATATAACCAACAGGCAGTTGGAAAAGAGTCAATAAACGCAAACGCAAGTAAACAAAAAATACTGACTTTCTTTGAAAAGTCTCAATTTTCGAACTTCCGCGAAAAAAAATGGCCTTTAGGCTCTTTGTGTTTAGAGAACAATTTATGATTGAAACTTTTTTGATAAAACTGAATCAATAGGTAAAATTTTGAGTTCACTGGGAAATCTGATAACTGAATTCCATTTTCGAAGTTAGAAGTGGATCACCTTTTTTGTGATCTTCACACTTTCGCTGTTCGATAGTGGAGTTTGCCTTCCTTTTAATTAAGGAAATGAACTGAACTTTTAAAAAAAAATAAATCAAACTTCATACGACGAAAAAGCAATTTGAGCCTGAACAAATTTTAAGAGTTTCCTTTAAAAAAATCAATAAAAAGAGTCTGAACAGCGGGATCCAAACCGCAGTCATCCAGCTTGCAAAAGAACTGCCCTATCATCCGCGCCAAAGAAGATTGCCAAGTCTAAACATTAGCCCACAAGACTGCCCGTATCAGGGCGACAACGCCCTGATTGTTCAGACTGCTCTTAGTTCTCGACTAGTTTTCGGTAAATTGAATATTGGCAAACCTATGAATTTTTAGGCTGATAATATCGAAATTTCAGTGTTACAGTTTGAGTTGTGTTTGGAATTAATAAAACAAATCAGCCGCCTCAGTTTGGAACGATTTTGTAGAGCGGCATTACAAAACAAGCTTTTTGTCGGTTCTTATGGTAGGTTGGTTTAGCGGTGTGCACACACGGCTTGCCCCTGAACAACAAGAGATCGATCCACTGAGGGAACAGAGTTTTTTAAAAGTGGTCTGAATAAAGAAAAAAAACCACCCCCAGCTTATATATTAATCACTTTCTTCGAAAGTCGGAACAATAATTAAAAGGTTAGTACACATGCTATAAAAATACCAAGCAGCGAAAACGCATGGCAGCGAAAATACCACCAAAATAAGCACTGCCTAATGCAAGTTGAATTAGAAAAAACTTACTCGCTATCTTACATTACGCTCGCTAGGTCGCTTGCGTTCAAAATAGATCCTATTTTCCGAGAATTTGAACATTTTGTGCATATTGAGATGGACTAAAAATTGCCCCAAAAATTAAAAGCTATAACCAGCAAAACGAAGCGTTCGAGGCGTTCGAACATTCTAATACTTCAAACGCATTTGTTTTTCAAGAGCACCCAATAATTTTTGTTTTCGAACAAATTCAACCATCCATTAGAGCAAAATATTACTACTTTTGCATGAAATAAATAAGAAGTTATTCAATGTGAAAGAAACCACTATCAATATAACTCTGTCAACAAAAGTGGCCATGTGTTAGCAAACTGGGCTATAAGACAAAGTCGTAAATTTGCAAGAAAAACATCAGATCAAAACTTGAATAAAAAGAATCAAAAATCAATAGTTTTTTATTACTGAGGAAACTATGTTTGAACAAAGAAGAAGCAGCACTTCGGTACACCGCAGTTATTCAACAGAACTATCCCAGAAAAAATATATCAAAAGCATCAACAACTGCGAGGATCCGCCAGCAAAGACATTGCCAGTAATCCTCCAACACCTTATCGATACCATACTTTTACAAAATCTTGCCTTAGCCAAAAAGCGAATAAACGCAGAAACAACTTAGCAAAAGATTGGCCTGGCCCACTCCGATTAAAAACAGCGAATTCGAGTTACAACACCAGGGTTTCTTGTGTTATTGAGATATTAGCGAAAAACCTCTTTTAAATGCGTAGATCCGATTTGTAAAAACCAAACTAGCAAAAAACTAAGATAATTTCAATTAAGTATATTTGTAATAGGCTATTATTTTATATTTTCGAACTTAAATCCTCAATGTTTTACGACCTTCTAAGGAATTGCGGCAATGATAAACTGCTTTTTCTCATTAATATCAATCAATATACTCCTCGTTTGTTTCAAAAATAACACAGGGTTGTGACCAGCCTCTTTTGTTATAGAAAACGATTAATCTGAGGCTCAATCTCTTATGCCTTTGCTTAAATTTTTTCGGGTGTTTTTTAACGGATATGGTCCAAAATAAAAAACAAAACAACAACACAAATCATTAAACGCAAGATTTAAACTATAGGCTTTGACACTCAGTTGTTTATAGTGCATTTTTTTAAATTCTGTTCAACTGATAAATTGTTGGCCGATTCAAATAACTGGGAGCTATCGAAAACGTTAAAAATGGATTAAAAAAATTGTTTGCCAGCATTTATGAGCCTGTATGTTATATAGCTGAAAAGATTTTCCGTTTCACGTTAACTACTGCTTTCGGGCATCAGATTTTCATAGGCTTTTATACCATCATTTGTTTTGCATTAGGAATCTTTTTCTGTTTACAAACAGGTTAAGAAAGCTGCTGTTCGCAAACACGGGCAAAAATTGATCAAGAGCTAGCTGCGATAACTACTATTTCATTGCTGCCTGAGTTAACCTGAGCCGGGCAATGCATCGCTAACTAAGCAGGGGTTTATAGAAATCAGGTTTATTCGCCGTAACAAAGCGTAATAGCCAATGCTACTGACAACTCCCCAACAGAAAATAAACTGCAGAAAAAACTGTATGCTAGAATTGACATAGACAGACACTTTCGCAAACACAATCAAAAAACGGCAAAAATCAGCTCTGAAATGCAAAAAAAGAGCAAATAGAAAGAAAAGACAAACCATTAAACCTCGAAAAACCTGACCTCGGCGAGCTTACAACCTCCGATATCGAGACAGAAATTTTTTGAGTCTTAAATTCTCACCACTGCACTCCAGATAATTCAACGCTGACTAGCAATAAAGCGGATACAACATAGGCTACTTAAATGGCAATGCAAAATTTTATGTAAAAAAATTGTCATCAAAATGCGCACTATTTTATGCAGTTGAGTTAGAAGAAAACAATGAATTCGTAAAATAACAATACGTTTGCAAACTGGCTAGTGTAAACAAACGTTTGCAGTAAAATGTCAAAATAAATTAACTGCGATTTTCAACAGAAGTGTTACTTCCTAATTAATTGAATGTAAAATAAAAAACAAATAATTTTTCAATCAAAAAAACAATTATTACAAAAATGGCAATCTACAAAAAAGATAAGGCCCAAAAATATTTTCCGGTCTTTCTATTTCAGATTAAATGTTAACTATCAAAAAAGAGCAACTCGAGCAACTTGCCTCCACTGCCCAGCTCCAGGACGAACTCGCCGTGTCCCTCAGTAATTCTCTGACTCAAATACCTCTCAATCAGAGTCCACTCTCTGTCACTTGGACGCACCAATGTCTGAAAAAAATCAATAAATCGTGTGCTCAATGTCTACCAGCCATATCATGGTACAGTATTGATTTGAATTTTTGGTAGCTTCCCAAATGGCATAATTCCCAAATGGCATAAAATGAAACTTTTCTTAAATGGCATAAGTTTCAAGTTTTCATTGTAATTCAAACGTTTTCTAACAATTTCTAATTCAAATTGTTTTGTAAGGAACGGAAACGTGAACAAAATTTGGAAGTAATTGCTTGCAAACAAAATGAAAGCGACAATTTTGTCGGAAGAATTGACCACAAGAAGCTTATCAATAACCGCAAGCTTATGCTTTTCGCTTTTGAAAAAAATTGTAGAACTTTTTCAAGATTAAATGTCAATCAACATTTCAATTGACAACTTGATTAATTTTCTCACTGTTCACAATAAGCTTTTTCTCTATTTTTTTAATGCACTTGATGCATAAAATTATGCCATTTGGGAATTTTTTCATTTTTATGCCATTTGGGAATTATGCCATTTGAGACGTAATCAAATTATCCGGACAGAACGAATGAAACTTGGAAATTAAAACGCTTTTATCTCAAATTGGTTTAATTTTAGACATAAAGTGACGGTGACACATCTTGCTGAGAAATTCAACAGAATTGATACGGTGCAATTTATATAGAAAAACTCCGGCCCAACATTTCATCCCATTAACGATCATTATTGGCTTTTTAGTCAATCAAAAATTATGCCAAAACTAAGTTGGAGAAAAAATTATACCATGGTGAGCCTCTTATTTAGCCCTAAAAAAACTAATATGGTTTTCCTCTTCAGTTTGTAAAAAAACTCTATTTTCGATTGAAACCAGAAAATGACAATTTTATTACATAAAATACTAATTTTTATTTGAATACAAATTTTGAACAATTGCGTCAATTTTTAGAGATTAAACCCTTCTTAAGTTTAATTGAGCTACTTCAAAAATTTATCCTGATGTAACTATGTCAGCATTAATTTTGGCGTAGTTTTTGATTGACTGAAAGAGCCAAAATTTATAGTTTTTGAGGTACAATTTTGGGCTCCAATTTTGCAAAATAACTTGCCCCATATTATTTTTCTTAAATTCAAGATGCATTCGTCGTTTCTATTCGTCGTTTTTTGTGTAAAATCAATCCAATTTCAGAAAAACGCGTTTTAGTTTTCAAGTTTTAATAGTTTTGTCCGGATAATTTAAATCAGCACTGAAGCTAAGCTGTAACTAGCTCTTAACTCTTTTGCTTTCTGAAATTTCGTTCTCAACCAATTAATTCTTGATCAATCAGTTTAATAATAGCATGGTTGATGCAAAAAAAAATCCCACACCAGCAAGGTAATAATATTAATAATCATAAAAATCGAAATGACAACACAGAAGGCAAATTTCAAGAACTTAACTTGAAAAAAAAAACACAATCTATACAAATGACTTCTTTCTTCTACACTTTAAAAAATATCACATTAAAACTCTTTGAATTTCAAAAATTGTTCATGATTGGTACTTTTTTGAAGTTATGTAGATAAACTCTATCAATGGTATTTTTATATTCCATTGATAAACCTAAAAATTGAAATCCACTTCAGAAACTAGAAGTCGTTCAAAACCTTTCCGCGCACTTGCACATTCGTAATTGAAGAGTGCAATTTTCCATCCCTTTAGCAAATAATGTTAACTTGAATTTAACAAAAAATCAAAAGTCAAAGCTCAAAAGATCAACTTTGGTGTGAACAAGTTTTAAAACTTTTTCTAAAAAAAACATCATATCGACCTATAAAAATGACAAAAATTTCCGTTTTTTTTTACACTTAAAACAAAACAAAAACTGAAAATTTAATAATCGGAGTAAAATAAAAAGCAAATTTCGAATAGAACGAGTGCTTTAAATATAGACTTGCTTAAAATATGTATGACGGTTGACGAAAATACAGATTTGGAGATGAGCAACCATGCCACCAAAGTCATCCTATGAACAAAGTTATTCACGGGAAAAAACTGTAGATAATATCAAGAAGTTCTGTCAAAACAATTCAATACATGATTCATTTTAAAATATCGCAAATCCCTAAATTGAACCGACCTTGGGGTCCAAGTAGCATATGGGAGTCTCATCCTCCGCCTCTGCGACATCCATGTCCTCGACTCCTTCACTGTGTACAACCGATGCATCACCAGACTGTTTTCCACCTGTACAGGCAAAAAACATTCATTTTTTCCATTACTCACTCACGCACCACACACTCCCTCACCCCCCCCCCCCCCCCCCCCCCCCCGAACTGACGTGAGGCCACGTAAAACAAGACACACAGTTTTCCATTTTCCCGCAATATGACTTATTTGAAAAAAAAACATTAAGTATTCTCACAATGTAATGAAAATTTCCACGATGAACAAACTAAGTGGCCTGAACAGATTTTTTATTCATACTTAATAACCAAAACTCAATTACCCATTATTAAATGTAAAGGTAACACTTTAGTCAGAATAGATCATTAGCATTGCGGGAGTCATTTGATAATCTGTTTTAAATTTGAGACAGAGATCCACACCTTTCATTGACACAATTTAATTTAAGGATCTCATTAACAATCCCATTTTAGCACCGGTAACGACCAATTCGGAAACTGCAATAGGGGATACCATTTTCTTCCATAACTAATTTGATATATTTTAAAACATTTTATGTAGTAATATATTTAGTTTAAAAGATAAACTCTTTGAAACCGTTCTATCAGAAAAAACATGCGCGCCTGCACTTTTCGCTGGCGCAGTCTTACCTCCATGTACGCCTTGATGTCTGGTACCATTTTTAGAAGCAGAACTGACTGGTAGAGAGGAATTGACTGAAGCTGAACCTTAAAACAAAGAAACTTTCATGTTGATAAAACAGAGCTTATTGTCTACGAGGAAGAAAATTGTTTAGAAATTATTGTTTATAGTGAAGAATCATTTTCCTAAAATAACATGCCAGCTATCTCGGAGTTTTAGTTGACAAAAATAATATTTTTTCAGGCGAGTTTAAAGTAAAATTTTAAGCAAAATGGATTATGCGATTAAGACAATTTATTGCGCGCGACGTATGTTACCACACAGAGGCGGAGCCGAGCTTCGCACCACTTGCGATACAACACAAACATGAAAAACATAAGTCGAAACAAAATTAAATTATGAAAAAACTAGGTGAACCAAAATTTTTGTATGTCTCGATAAAAAACAACTAGGGGCCCCAGCTAAAGCTGGAGATACGTATTTGATATTAAATGAATTTGCTATACTGATGCATCACCAAAAATGTGATTTCAAAAAACGGACTTTGCCCAAAACCTTAGTTGTTTCTCTACTAAAATAAGTGAGAATAGCAAAAAAACTTTGAAATAGTCAAATTTCCCAAGGAGATAACAATTGTTTTACAAAAAATTAAGGAGTCCCCGCTACTGCAGAAACAAATAATTATCGCAACCGGTTCTTTCAATTGAACTTTTCATCTCAGATTTGATTGTGTAAATTTAAAAAGCAGGTTGTGACCGCTTATGCAGAGAACAGTTTCTCTATTACACAAAACCGGAAAATTGGCACGGTAGTTGTCAAAGTTTTAAATTATAGACTTCTTTGAAGGCCATGACTTTTTTTGAAACAAAAAAGACATAGCCAATTACAAAAGTAGGCTTTCCACAACCTGTTGTTTCGATTAAACCTATGATATCGGTTTTTGGCATGATAGTTCATGAAAAAGTCCAAAAAGGTCAACAAATCAAAATATTGACATTTCCGAGAATCATAGATTTTTTGTGAAACAATAGGACAGAGCCGCTTATGCAGAAGGGATTCACGCAAGCTGGAATTCTGATAGAACCCAAAATCTCAGACTTGGGAGCGTAATTCTCGAGAAAAGTCAAAAACTGTAACAAAAAAACGGTCAAAAAATCAAAACTTTGACTTGTCCGAGGGTCATAACTTTTGGTGTCCAAAAAATTCGGGCGTAATCGCATAAGCAAATGATCTTCCCACAACCAGTTTTTCTAATTGAAACCAAAATCTCAGATATGGCAGGGTAGTTTTTGCAAATATTCAAAAGGCTTACCAAACGGTCAAAAAATCAAAAATTTGACTTTTCTGATGGCGATATTCTTTTTTGCGTAGAAAAAAAAACTTTTTAAGTGGTCGCTGAAACAGGGGAACTTCTCACTACCCGTTATCTCTATCGAACACACAATATCCGATCAAAAATCAAAAGTTTGACTAATCCGAGGGCCATAAAATCATGTGAAAGAAAAGTTTGGGTGCAGACGTTTGTACAGGTAGTTTTTCAAAACCTTTCTTTTCAATGAAACCGTTTTCTTTTCAGATTTGAGGGAGGGTTTTCGAGAAAACGAAAAAAAAAACGAACTATGGGTCCTATTATCACCCACAGACTTTTTCGAAGGCTGTAGACAGAGATTTAAGTGAAAAGAGACTATAGGGGAGTATGCAGGCACACAAGGGAGCAGGCGGCCTTTCAATTCATAACCCTTTTTTTAAAAAAAAAATCACAAGAAGTTTGTGAGAAAAACTATAATTTTTCCACTATATTAACAATAACTTTCCAAAAAAAAATTGACGAACCAATTGGTAAACAAACAACCACCTTAACAAGTGCGGAGGGGAAAGTTAAAAATGTGTTTTACTTGAAACGACCCAAAATTAGGTCATTAAGATGATAAAAATTGGGCTGAAATAATTTGGGCCGACGAATTTTTTCAGCGAAAAAAAAACAAAGAAAGAAATACTAAATCAAGGTAAGTAAATTTACAAACTGTAGGAGTTAATCAAACAGTAAAAGCAACATAAGAGAAAAAAGTGCGCAGCAAAAAAAACGATTCCAAGATGTGACAACTAAGCCGAAACCAGATAAGCAGACAAATAATTGGCCGAAAAAATTTTAAGCGAAAAACAAGAAAATCAACTAAAATGAAACTGCTTTCAGCAAAAAAAAATCTAGGATGTGGCAACTAAGCCGGCAAAACAACCAGACACATAATCCAACAATTTTTTGGAACAAAATATTCCCAGTTTGAAAAAAAACAGGCCTTGCTCAGATTCGAACCCAAGACGTTTATTGTCACGGGCGTATTAATTACTCCAGACTAAGTGTGTCGGAGACGCTTAGAAATTTGAATTCATTATGAATCAAGGTTCCAAGTGATTCTGTTACCAAGTGATTCTGATAACACTTGCTCTTCGCAAGGGTTATTAGAAACAAGAGTAATGCTTTTCTAATGATTAGCTTAGTCTCATTTAACTTTCAGTTCGGCAGTTTTTCAAAACCTATCCATGTCTCAGATAAATAGACTAAACAGACAAATTAACTGAGGGAAAATGCACTATCTTCGCAGAAGATATGATCATGCACAAGACCTACTTCTCAAGTCTTAAGTTTTACCAGCCGAACTATTTTCTAGCCAGCACAGCCAGACTAGAATTTTCGATGTGGCGAAAAGTGTAAGGACAAACAAATTGGTAGGGAGCTAATGTATAAAAGAGTTCCTGTGAAACTTAACGAACGCACTAAACAATTTATACATCTCGGCTTAGGATGATTTTGACTATTTTTTTGGAAGATTACAATTCGGACGATTTTGTAGGGGGAAGACTTTTGGTGATTTTATATGGGATATTTTTATGTGAGAAGATTTGGCTGGTCAAGGTTGAAATAACTTTCAAGTAAGACTAGTTTAATGTCTATGGGTATTTTTTTTTCCAAATACTGTATATTTTCTTTTTCGGAAGACGCGGAGGAAAACCATGAATTACTAATGATGAGAAAAGATTTCGTTCCTTTACTGCTTTTCAAGTATTTAATTACAGAGACGTGAAAAATACACTAGCACAAATATCCATCAGTTCTTTCAAAACTATAACGAAAAAAATTAAACACAGAGGCGAAGCTGCATTTCACAAACACTTGCGAGAAAACGACCAAGAAGCAGCTCTATGAAGTGAAATAGGAAAAAGTAGAAATAGGCCTCAAATTTGAGTCTCACGCACTAACCACTCACCGACGGATGCTTAAAAGCCCCAAAAACTAGCCACCAATAACGCAGCTACATATGCTAATGAATTGCCAATTCGATGCAGGAAAAAAGACACCAAAAATGAATAGACATAATTTGCATTCAATAAATTGGAAATCATAAAGCTAAATTATGTATAAATTATGCATTTCAAAATATTGCTAGATATATCGAGTTGGAAAGTTTCTGAAATCAAGTTTTCATTAGTGTACTGATATTTTTCAGCAAAAATAACTTTTTTCGGTTCATTTCAACAATGAGAAATGCATCAACTGTGTTAACTTACTAGTAATCGATTGTCAAAGCAGATGCTATCAAAAAGCTGTAAAGGTGCCCCAACGAGTGGCACCTATATTTGCGACTAAGGTTGGAAAAAAAGAAAGTTCGCACTACTACACTTTGCTTAGCAATTGTTAAGAACAGGAGAGTAGTATTTCATCAACATATTGATCAACGAATAATTTTAACTCTGTTTTTCAGCTAAAAAAAACATAGCCAACAAACAGCTGAAAAAGGGTCAATGATCTCACGGAAACAAAAAAAAAACAATTTTTTCAAATTTTCGAATTTCGTAGAAAAAAAGCTCTTTGAATTTACAAAAACTTTTATAAGAGACGACGTTATGGGTAAAACTAACAACATTTGAGAAAACTGGGTCACCAGTAGCGGATTTAGGGATTCGACCCCTTGCTGACCCAAAGGGTCCCCCTTTGAACTATTTTGAGATATACATTTTTGGCTGACGGACCCTTAAATTTTTCTAAACGTGCCTTTGGCGCCAATAAATACTAATCCAGCGGCGCACAAAATTTGATCAATTTACCGTCTTTATAGTGTTTTGGGAGAGCTCAGAAAATCAATTTGGTCGACCTAAAAAATCCCCCCCCCCCTCGAGAATTTCCTAGATCCGCGCCTGTGGGTCACAATAAGTATTTTTTTGATTCCGCTGGATAGTCCTTGAATTAAAACTTACCATTGAAATCAAAATCCTTCATAATTTTCGCGCCTTTTGCACATTTACAAACATAGCGAGTAACTTTCCTTCCTTTCAGCAAATTAATTTAAACTAAATTCAATTAAAATTAAAACTCAAACCGCAAAAAAAAATCAAATGCGAGTGACGTCCGAGTTTTAAATAGAACGTCCGAGTTTTAAATAGGACTTAAGATAATTAAAAATGTTTGCTTGACTATTCAAAAAAATGCGCGCTACATTTCCATCCCCTGGCGATTGGTAAATATGTATGTACAAGCTACACTGAGATTCACGTTGTACAACTGGAATGAAATTGGGTCTTGCATCAAATTATATCTACTTGTACCTCAGTCGAGATGGTAATTTTAAGATTTTGGCAGTTAGAAAAACTGAAATTTGTTTTTTTTTTAAGTTGGTGAGTGGGTTAAGTTCCAAATGCGGTGTTGTCCGACTTGCTAGCTTGACGATTGCTGCAAATGTATACTTCTCGTAAGTTTCAAGAAGTTGGAGTTGACAAAATATTTAAAAAGACTATTTCGCCTATAAACAAACTTTGGATGTGATAAATCCATTTTTCAAACAGAATTCACGATTCAAGCTTGTCTATCAAAATCGCAGGAAAACTTTTTCTTTTTGTAATATGCTTTCTTTTCATAAGTTTGTAATCTGATAAAAACCCCATTGGTGTATGATAATTACCCGTAAAACACAAAGAACGAAATAGCAATGAAAAATACGCAAAGATTTTTTTGAAAAATGCAAAAAAAAATCGAATAATAATATGAATAATAAAAGTTTTAGCTAGAAAAAAATGCGGGCTAAAATATAACACTTATAGTCACAACGGTGAACAAAAGTATATTTGTAATCCTACAAAAAAGCTGCCTTTTATTGCTCGTTTTTCACACCCATTTCATCTTACCATTGTGATCTGGAGCAGTCATAACTTTCTGGAACTGTTCACAGGATAGATTCAACAAAGATCCAGCGGCTGTGCTCTGTGTACTATTCTGCCCATGCTGATTATGAGCCATATTCTTTGTTTTCCCACCCGAAGTTGCTGTTGTTCTATGTATTGGTGTGGGTATGGGTGCGGTAGGCGAGTCATTGCTTGGTGGCAGAGGACAGCCCATGTCCACTAGGTGGGCCATTGTTTTTATTCTGAAAAAAAAAATCGCTTAAAGGGTAAAATATGGCCATTGAAGGTTGAAAAAGGGTCGATGAACCCAAGGAAACTGAAAAAATACACTTTGTTTCAACTTTTGATTTTCGCAGGAAAACAATACATCTCCTTAAGTAAAGCTCTTCCAACTCGAGAATCTTTTCCGATTGACGCTTTATCATGGATCATGGACCTAACCCACTTAGAGAAAACTGGGTCAATTCAAATTTCAGCTAAGCCAAATTTCAAGGCGTTTTCCTGAAAAACTTAAAATAATCATTGAAAAAAATTGAACATTAAAATGGTATTGTCCGCACCGGAATTCCATGGAACAGTATTGTCCGCATCGGAGTTCGATGGATAGTAATCGATTATATAATCAGTTCATAGACATTCTCTATAACCTTCAAAAACAAGCGAATTCAAAAAAATATAATGCATCTGCTTTTGAAAGCGATCCATTGTAAATAGATTATAATCGTTTTGTTTTCCGAAAAATAGTCAAACATCAGCAAATAGGCTTCAGTTAATTTACAACTTGACAATTGCTTTCGCAAAACACACATTGATTTTTTAAAGTGTAATTCACATTGGCTAGAAAACTGTTATCTTGTTTTCTATTTTTCTCTTCATAATTTTCCCCTTTTTTCTTATGTTTTTGCTGCCCTATATTTTGTATTTAACTTTAACTCTTTTATCCAATGACGCCAATGACGTATCTTCTCCGATGTATCTACCTCATCTCATCAGGAATTTAACCTGACAGTAACTCTAAAACATAGCCAACAGAACGACAGCAAAAGAGTCAAAACAGAAAAAAAAAATTATGTCTTATGTTTGAAAAAATCTAAGCTTTCGAATTTAAAGGGAAAAATAGATGCCTTAAAATTTTTTTGAATTTCTAGAACAATTAATGATTTACACTTTTTTGATTAAATTACCCCAATTTGATAAAATTGGATCAATAGGTAAAACTTTTATTCCGCTGGAAAATCTGAAAATTAAATTCTACTTTCGAAACTAGAAGTCGATCACGTTTTTCGTAGCCTTTACATGTTTGCTGTTCGATAGCGGAGTTTGCTTTACTTTAACAAAGGAAATGAAATGAACTTAAAAAGAAATCATAAGTCAAACCGTGAAAAAAAAATCAGCCTGAACAAATGTTACGACTTTCTTGAAAAACAATCATCAGCACCTATATAAGAGTCTCAACTACGTTCATCGACTTTTAAAAACGTCATTTTTAGGCAGTTTTTTTAACGCTAAAAAAATTCTTGATTGGTTTTGAACTCCGGCGCCACTCTCAACCCCACCCCATAAACAATCTGTTTCAGTTGGATAAGTGCGTGCGATGTGGTAGAGATTAATGTGTTGGGGGTGGGGGCTATTTTCGGGGAAGGGTTTTAAGTTAGAAAAAAGCGTCAAAACGCAATTTTGGCCTGTTTTTTTTTCGACGTCAATAAAATTTTTGAAAACTCTTGGGTTAATAAAGGGGTGCAGCTGTTCGATTTTTAATGGATATCGTTTTGCCACAAATACATAAATGTGAGTAGGTTTAAAAAATCGAATGGGTCGTGAGTAAGGCGAATAAAAATTTTCAAACTTGTACAGATTGATTATAACCGATTGCGTGATCCCAAAGTGGAATTACTATCCATGGAAACTCAGTGTGACTGCTTGAAAATAAAGCACAGTAATGGATTGTGGATTATGATGCACGTAAATTTTTAATGAGAAACTACAAAAAACGGACGACCGTCAGATTTCTCAAATCAAACAGAAAATCAAATTCTGAGGTTCTTATCATTTTCCTAATTTGGGAATAATGGAGTTACAAAACATGATAACTGTAATTGGCAATAATGCAAAAAAATTTACGTTAGAAATAGGCTATAAACGTTTTTAGATCCAACGTCGAACTATGTTTTTTGTTTCATCATATGCACGGATTGAAAATCTTCTGAGCATAACTTTTTCTTTTCTTTTTCTGTGCTTTGAGAAACTCTGCCTTCTTGTTTTATCCAGTACATTGAAGCTCATTAATTTCTTAGAAGTTTCGTTTTTTTTTAATTTTCTATCGTTTTTGAGCCTCGGTTTCTTATGAACAGGTTTTTTATTTGGTCAAAACCGAGTGTATTGGTGTTTATCCTGTCCGAATCTCTTTATACTCAAAATTATTTCATATCGAAATTGTTGCGATGAATCTTAACTCTCGGATACATAAACTTTCTATACTTAAAAAAAAAACATTTTCAGTTGCATCTCAAGTATTTCGCAGAATCTATAACGACTTCTTAGTTTGACTACAGCTTGCCTTCAGAAATTCCATCTTGTTGCGAGGGTGTCGTGTCAAGGTGTTGAGGAGCCAGGTTGCCGAAACTATCCATAGTGACTGGTTGTCAAAAATTAAAGCATTATTTGCATCACTTGGCTTAAGCATTCCAAGCACTGAGGCAGGGCCCTCGAGAAAAATTTCATACCAAGCCCTTCGCACTCTAATGAACTTCAATTTTGCGGTTAAATTTTATTTTCTTTTCCTGCGGCAGCAGTTTGTACCCAGGAATGAGACCCTAATTATCTAATTTTCCAATTACTTGTCCGAAAAATATCAATTTATCTTAGACGGCAAAAAAAAACGTGAAAGAAAACAGCATTTTCGGCAACGTGATACTTGATACATTGACACACTGAGCTTTCATCGTTGCGAGAGACAGACAAAAATGATCCGTTCTGCCTGTAACGGTGAAGATCTTTTCAACTACTAGGACGTATTTGATTATGTAAGAAAGACAGCAACACCGAGAAATATCCTGAGCCAATTAAGACTCGAAACCTTTTTCGTTAGATATGCAATGTGGAACATTGGTAAGCTTAGGCAACCAATTTGATATCTAAACGAGACTGCTCGTATCAGGGCGAAGCCGTGAAAATACACAGGGTCTTCCACTTCGTAATTTTTTGAGATATCAATTTTGGGCGCACAGACCCTAAAATTTTTCTAAAGGCGCCTTTGTCGCCAACATATACTTTTAAAAACGCCTCCAAAAAATTGCCTCCAGCGCACAAAAAACAGTATTTTTAGTGCTTTGGGATAGCTCGGAAAATCAATATGGTTGACTTGAAAAAGAAACAAAAAGAAAAAGTTGAAAATCTGCTCGAACCCAATGAGAGGTACAAAAGTGATAACATTTTCCATCTACTCTGCCTTAAATCAAATTGGAAATTTTCAGAGCAGGATTAGTTCGCCGCATTCGCCTCGCAATAAGGAACAATTGGAATTGTTTGCGATTTAATTATCTCAAATTGGTCTTCGAAATTTGAGAAACGAAACTGTTTATATCAATTAAAGGAAAAGCCCTATATGATTACACTGACCTTAAGCTAGTCTCGACTAGTTTTGGATAAAGACAAAAGTGATACTCTTTGGAAAAAAATAGTCAGAAACTTAAAGGCAACTAATATGACAAAATAGCACGCCTCAAAACAACTTTGAGAGCGTGATAAATAGCCCGTCTTAAATAACTTGCGACAAGGCTTTCATGGCGAAATTGGTAATTTCCAAACACCCTAAATTTTACACAAAAAAATGCGGGTGAAAACTATTTTTTACTTCTGAACTCTCCGAGCAGACTTTACTTTCCAAGCATGTGCAGTCGTCCATTACTTTCTTCGATTGAGGCGAACAAAATTCACTAACAAAAAATTCTAACACTACTTCACTAAAAAAAATTCACTAACAGAACTAAATTTATAACTTCGATTGAGGCGAACAAAATTCACTTACCAAAAAATTCTAACACTACTTCACTAAAAAAAATTCACTAACAGAACTAAATTTATGATTTTAAGGTAGACGTTCAAAAATAAAGACATGATGTTTTGCGTTTTTCAGGTTTCGGTAGACAAAAAACCGCCAAGTTGCTATACAATGTAAGTTGCTATGCAAAAAGTTGTTCACGGGAAAATTTATGAGTTCCCGATTACAAGTCACTTGCTCTCGCAATGGAATTAAGTCTAAACACAGTTCACTTCGTCGGATTATTCAACGCTACTCCTGCTAGATCGCTTGCGATAATAAATTGAAATTCCTTTTACGTCCGACCAAAAAATATTATTGCTAAGTTTCCTTCCTACTTTTCGGAATCTGACAATATGAAGAGAGAAATGAAAAAGCGCTCATGCGATTGGTTGAAATCAAAAAACTTTTTCATAGCAGTAGAAAACTTTTAGGTTGAACGACTTAATCAATGGTTTATTCTGCAGTCGGTTACAAAAATCGGTCAATTCATACCAAACCTGACTCGAAGAAAAATTTATTGTGCCAGGAATTTAAAGGTTATATTTAAATAACTTATGACAATGAATACTTTTTCCAAAATGTTACAGGTGTTTCGACTTTTCAACTGTTCCGTTCTCTTACATGTATAGCTCACGCGAAATTATCCTACATACCCGTTGAATTGTTTATGTATTGCGTCACTAGAGAAACTTTTTTCAAAATTAGTTTTCATTCGTCTGATAAAGCAAAAAAAAACTTACCACTGAGTAATAGGAAAACTTTAATCCACTTATCTATTAACTGAAAACACACCTTGATCAGATGTAGAAAACGATAAAAATGGGGCTTCAAATAGTAAATAGTTCAGTTCAAACAATTCCGAGCGTAAAGAAAAAACGACGTCATTGCTATATTGCTATATTTAGAGCACCGTGACGTCAGTGTCGTTTTAATACCATGAAAATGGCGTTGTATGTTGTGTAGACCAACCTCTTGTCAAACGCAATTGGAGCGGAGATTCGACTGACGCAAAAATATAAAGAATTGCTCCATTGATACAATTTAGCAAAGGATAGAATACGTTGCTGAAAACATAGCCAACTTACAGTTGGAAAAGAGTAATGAACGCAAGGCAACAAAAAATTGAGTTGTTTTCTGAAAAATTTTCAACTTTCGAATTTTTAAAGAAAAAAAATTAAGCCTTCAAGGTCTTTGAATTTCACGAGCAATTTATGATTGGTGCTCTTTTGATAAAATTAACCGAATTTAAGAAACCTGGATCAACAGGTAAAATTTTATTTCGCTGGGAAATATGATAATTCCATTCCATTTTCGAAATTAGAAGTCGCAAGCGTTTCGTGACCTTTACATTTAGTTTTTTTTTTGTATTTAAGAACAAAAGAAACACTACAGCTCGCATGTGTTAAAAAGGTATATCATCTCAATGATCTTCCGATGTCAAAAAACTTTAATGATGGACATTTTGCTAGATAAATCTAACGTCAATACGTTTTTTTTATTTAGGTGGGAAATCTTAAAATTTTAGAAACCAATTTCGAAACTTCTAGTTTTTAATTTAACTTTTTGGGCCATTCGCACTTTTGTTTCCCGGGAGCGAAATCTTCCTTCCATTTAGAAACTAAATTTGAAGTTAACATAAGCAAAATCAAAAACCAAACCGCTTAATATCACATTTGAGCATTGACAACTTCCTTAATAAAAAACGACTTGAATAAGGGTCTTCACGTCAATCAATCAATGACAGTAAAAAAACTCAAATCTTCCATTAAAACGGCTCTTTCATCTTCTTCCCCTTCCCCTTCACCACCACCTAAAAATGCTTAATGTTTAGGATAACAAGAAGTTTTCCACAGTTAAATATGCGGACTTATAAGTTAAATATAAGTTTAGAAAAGTCGCCTAAATAATCAGCATACCAATTGTAATAACAACCAGATATTATAAACAGACGTTATTTTTGTTAAATTCCGCAATTTGCGAATGAAAATTTGGGCAGTGAGCTTTGCATTAAGAAATTAATTTAACTCAAAATCGAATTGACAAGAAAAGTAACATTAAATTTCTGAATTTATCATAAGTGAAATCAAAACAGGATAGAAAAACTTAAGAAAAGTAAAAGCACTGCTCGAAAGCTGGCATTTCTGATCATAACCATAAGCAAGTTTAGTTTGCCATTTGTTAACAGTCGATATGAAATGTAAGCAATTATTTATTTCAACTCGGGAACAAAAATTTAAATCTTTGTAAAACAAAAAGTTCGAACGAGCAATATCTGTTTGACTATTCGTCAATCTACTGAATTTTTCTGCTAGAAACCAATTCAACTTATTCGAGGTTTTGATTAACGACAGGAATTAATAATATTTTCTTGTATTTCTATAGATTTTAATCTTATTAAAATAATAATTTTGAATTGAAAGGGTTCAAGGTTGTATTCGTATAACCGTCAATTTTGCCAGTTCGAACATTCTACAATTTCCTCGTTCATTAAACTTATTAATTTAATCATCCCGCTTCCGCTACTCTAGCTTTTCTAGATGGACTTTGATTTTTATTCTCTCGTTCTCTGTCTGGAACACTGCTTGGTAATTCATCATCTGGAACTTCTGGTAATTCCATTTTGCTGTTGTTGGTATCTTTGTTGCCCCGTTCCATTTCGTCAGCTGCAATAAGTGCTTCTAACTCATCAAGAGCCGCCTGTATAAAAAAGCAAAAACTTAACCGAAATCCAAACTTTAAGCAGAGGTTGAGCTGCATTTCGCATAAAATGCAAAAACGGCAAAAAAAATTCTAAAAAAACAACATTGCCAATCTAAGATTGAAAAACAGTAATGAACGCAAAACATAAAAAAAAACACTGATTTTGTTGAAAAAATCTCAATTTTTGAATTTCAAAAAAAAAATAGATGCCCTTCAAGCTCTTTGAATTTCTGGAACATTTTATGATTGGCGCTTTTTTGATAACATTAATCCAACTTGAGAAAACTGGATCAACAGGTAAAGTTTTTGTTCCGCTGGAAATCTAAAATATAAAATCCACTTTCGAAACTAGAAATCGTTCATGATTTTTTGCGCCAGTTCCACGTTCGTATTTGGAGAGTGCTATTTACGTCACTTTCAGCAGATGAATTTCAATTGAACTCAAAAAGTGCATATAAACCTAAGACTTCCTAGAAAAAAAAACAAAAAAAAATCAGCAAGACCTATATAAGAGTCTTCACTGCGTTCATTACTCTTGAAAAACTCAAACAAATACGAAAATAGACGTCGACAAAATCGATCAATTTTAAATTTATGCTAAGTGTGTTGTGAATCAGAGGCGGATTTAATGCGAGCTTTGCCTTTAAGATTTTTGTCAAAGTTTTGATAAATTCGCTATCAAAAAAATCAGATATTGTGACTGAGGAATCTTAAGCGGTGTAAAAATAACGCCTATTTATGAAATATGTACGGACTGACATAAAAGATGTTCGTCATAACCATACGGATAAATGGCTACAGAAAAATTTCAGTTTTTTCTCCAAATAAATTGAATTTTTATGTTGTATTTTCATGAATTTTTCGTACTCTTTATTTAAATCAACTAGCAAGAATGTCCTCAAGAATCAATTGACTCGCAGAAAGCATAAACCTTTGAAATAATTCAAACGTTTTCATTACGAGGCCAAACTATGTGTTTTGTGAATTGTGAGCGGAATCCGGAAAGATGCTCTCTTTGTTCTTCTTTTGTTCTTTCGTTTTCTTTGATCGTTCCGACAAATTTTAAATAGGTTTAAAGACAAACAAACAAGTGAACAAAACTGAAGAGAACTAGGCTTTCAAAATTTTTAAGTAGTAAAACATTTTCTTTGGGGTCCCATCTAAGCTAAAGGGTCCCAAGTATCATAATTATACCTGAAACGGTTCGCAAAACTTTACTATCAACTATAGAGTAAAAAATTTCAAATTTTATGAAATCCAAGTTTTTGAAAATTTATCAAAAAACTCATAAGAACCGTCTTATCTGGGAAGCTCAAAGGATTTGAGCAGTTATATTTGGAAGCAGGATTTGCAGCCCTTGAGAGTACCGTGACAGCACCGGACTATAGGGTTGGGAACATTAAATGAAAAATATTCAAAAATCATAAACAATGTCATGTCTCAGAAGTTGAAATCATTTGAGCAGCCGTATTTGGAGGAAAGCTTTGCAACACCTGAGTATCCTGACAGCATATTTTTGGAAATTTTAAATATTAGCGTTAGTCATTTAAATCCCGAAATTTAAAACGTTTCTCAAAACATTTGGCTGTTGATACTCATCCAGCTTTTGGATCGAAAAAAACTTCTGGAATATTCATGATTTTCGCCAAAACATTGTCAATGACGCCTTTTTTTAACCATTATCCCCTATGAAATTCGCTTGAACATTGAGTCCGCAGAGTTTTTGGCGTTGCGTTTAACTAAAAGATAGATAGATTGAAGTTTAAACTACTACAAATTGTTAATTTTTACTGACATCGCCGATAGAAACCCTTAGAAGCTATTATATTGGTTATATTTTTGACAAAAACTTGTCTTGAATGTCGGAACGATTATTAAAAGATTCCCCTTAATATACAACTACCTTTTTCTGATTAATAAGCGGAGATCCGCTTTTTGACTAAGTGAGTCAAGTTCTTTATTGACTGTGTGGATTTCCAAACTCACATAGGTGAGTTTAACATTAAGTTCTCCTTCGTTTAAAATAACTCCTTCGTTTAAAATTCTATCAGGCGAAATGCTTATCCTGTTTGTTTGCGCATTTCGAAACTGCCAATGGTCAATTTAACAATCAGTTTGAAATAACTCGTTCTTTCAAACTTCTATCATGCGAAATGCCTAACCTGTTCGTCCTGTTCTGTAAGTGATCCAGCTAGAGTGTCTTCTATCTGTTGTTGTAATTCAACCGCATCTCTAGTGTCATCCATCAACTGCTCAATATCATCCAATTTCAACACCTGCTGCAGCTTAGCCAGTGCATCCTTGCCCGCCTTCAGACCATCCACCACTTTCACCTAAACGATACATGGACATCAAACATACAGTTAGCCAACAGACTCTTAAATGTCAATGAAAAAGCAAACAATTTTTTTTCAAACTTGAACAGTCATAAAAATGGTACACACTGTCTCACGTACTTTGCTCATAGAAGACCGAAAAAGAAAGAGGAGCAAAAATTCAAGTCAGTAGGGTTTAAAACTTAATTCACAGGGTTGTCCTTAACTCTTAAGACAATTCGATACTTTTGCAATTGCCTCATCCAATCTTCAGCCATGAACATTAACAAGGTGTATACTTTGCCTTACGGTGTAGTAATTTTTAAAACATAAAAGTTTTTATGTGTTCAACATGCAATAACACTCTCAAGTAGATGAATTGCGTTTATTTTCGTGAAAAAAAAACAAGAAACATTACTAGTAAGGTCCAAAAACGTTCGATGTATCAAAAATTCGACTTTTCGCATATCCAAATCTGTTTTTCCGAATTCGGGCGAAACCGCTTATGCAAAGCAGATTTTACAACCCGTTGATTCAGTTGAAACCTGTGTCCATGAGAGAACTTTTAGTTTTTAACATGAGAAAAACTGTCAAAACTTCAATTTTTCCGAAGGCCATAACTTTCGTTCTAAAAATTCTTGAATTGAAATATTTCAAGCCCGTAGGAAACGTGAAAATTTACAAAATAGAACGGAATATGCAAGAAGACGGATTCCATTTATACCACTTAGGCATCCGGCAGTATTTTGTGAGTAATGAAACACTTTCAAAATATTTTTGTTACTTTTGTGCCATTTTTATTTATCCGAAATCATGTAATATAACTAGGTTCACGAAAATATTTTCAACTACTTATAACAGTTGATATCAAACCATTCAATTCAGCATATGACATTGGAAAGGACAGACGAAAGGCGCATTGCGCGCCTACTTAAGGTCTACACGCTATTCAAATAAGTTAGAGTTAATATTAGAAAATAATTATAACATTGAAATCAAACTTTTTGAAGCAGTTTCTTATTATTTTTGGAGATTGAGCACAAAAGTTAGAGTTAATATTAGATTGAGCACAAAAATAAGAGTTAAAATTAGAAAAAAAATAACATTAAAATCAATTTTTTTTGAAGCAGTATTTTATCAGTTTTGGATTTTTTGAAGCAGTATTTTATCAGTTTTGGATCCGGCACGCTATTCGAACATTTGGTCTACACGCTACTCAAATAAGTCAGAGTAAATATTAAAAAATCATAATAATATTAAAATCAGTTTTTTGTGAAGCAGTTTCTTATTATTTTTGGAGATTGAGCATAAATATATAGCATGCGCTCGGGTCAGTCTGTTATCGATAATTTATACCACGTCTCAAAAATCTCAAGAATTAATAGAAAACAAAAAGGAACATTATGAACATTTCTTCACATTTCATGAAACCAAGCAGCCTGATTCCTGTTTTTAGGACACCTATCCCGCATGAGAGCAAACAGGCTTAAAGATTTCAGAAGGCATTGACTAAATTTTTAGCAAGCAGTGTTAGTGTTAACATTATTGATTAACGATTAACACATCTGTAGTATGCGCTCAGGTCAGTCTGTTATCGATAATTTATACCACGTCTCAAAAATCTCAAGAATTAATGGAAACCAAAAAGGAACATCATGAACATTTCACATTTCATGAAACCAAGCAGCATGATTCCTGTTTTTAGGACACCTATCCCGCATGGGAGCAAACAGGTTTAAAGATTTCAGAAGGCATTGACTAAATTTTTAGCAAGCAGTGTTAGTGTTAACATCATTGATTAGGTTGGCAAACTCCACATTCTGCTTTAGAACTGCAGAAAATCCTTCATCTGATTTTTTTTTGTTAAAAAAGACATATCACCCTAATAAAAACTTGATAAATCAGTTTTCATGAAGAAAAAAAACTAACTAAGATTTCCAGATAGCGGCCGGAAAAGCATGCATTTTCCATTACTTCAACGAATGAATTTTCCAGATTTTCCGATATAAAATAATCTATACATGTTCCAGAGGAATCAATAATTCGAGTTGCAGTTTTTCACTAGTGCAAAGCCCTTGGCTGTTATTGAAAATACGTATGATTGCTGTACAATAATTTTCTCATTTCTTGAATCATCATTATGGAAATCTCCAGCTAGGATTATTGGTATCTCAAATTGTGAATGATTTTCTAATTGCTTAACGAGCTCATCGACAAAGTGCATTTTATTGAAGCGTGATGGGACATAAGCTAACGCAATTATCAATTTATTCCCACCAATTTCTACAAGCATTGATATGGATTCTGGTAAATCACTATCAAAACGTTACATAAAATTAACTTTTTCGCCCAGTTGTATCATAGTTTCACGACCTCTTGTTATTCTATTTTTCGAAATGAAGGTGTGAAATCTTCATTTAACAAAGTTTGTGTTAAACATAATATACTAACAGTAGACTCGAGACTACTGAGAAAAGTTTCTACATTTTTATGATGCTTTTTAAACGAGCGCACACTATACAGTAAAACATTAAAGTTAGCATAAGCGTTTCTCCCTTGTTCCAATCAAGTTTTACGCGATGTAGATGATTCAAAAATATTTTTAACAAAGTACTTCTTAACATCATTGTATGTGTAGTCGAGCAGCTTTCCTCCCTCAAAAATTGGTCAATTTTTTTGATCTGCTGATTTCCTTTCCACTCATAGAAAATAGTCCCTTCACGCGTCTAGGCATTTTCAGCACAGGGAACGTTTCTCATGAAGATGAAATATTGAGCCTTGGTCGGTTCAAGTCTTCGAATTATCGTAAATAACTCAGCTGTTCAATTACTCTATTTTTTCTTCCTTAAAAAATGATTTTCGCAGCTCTCCTCGCAAACTTGTCATTGACTGGACTACTCTGGGTTCCGCACCTTGGGAGTCGATGCGCAATAGACACGTCTTTTTCATCAATAATTGCATCAAATTGTCTTGCTTAGTCAATCATCATAGTTACCGTTACGTTTTCCTTATCATACCTTCTGCGATTTTCAGATTGCATACTATCCTCATTTAGGCTGGTTGTTCTTACATGGTCTAGCCGATTGTACAATTCCAATTATTCAGCTTCCGATAGGATTTGTAGCTTTGAAATGTTCGCTTGATCTGTAATTTTTTCTTCTACCTCAGAATGGAAATTACTTCAGAAGTTCTCGTATGGCTGCATCCATTAAACACTTCATTGACTCGTTCATTTCTGCACGGATAGTTTGAATAACCTCCACTAAATTTTTCCATTTGTTTTAAAATGGTAGCTTTGGTTGTCTGAATGATAGTTGAGTCAGATTCTTCATTTGGTTGGCTCAGCATAATGAAATGTCTTGTGCTATCGGACCTGTCTTGCTGTGCCAAGAAGGGTTTGGTCCCGGACTCTATAATTGGGCATTTCTTTCAATGGGAAAAACTGGATCAAATATGAGAAACTGGATAAAAGAGTAATTTTTCTTTAAAAACAACTTTCGGAACAAACAATTGCATTTTCCACTTAATTTTTTAACCAACTGATTGCATCACCCTTTCCACTTCAATTTTTAACGAACTGATTGCATCAGGTAACAAACCTGATTGTTTCGACTGCGATTTAAAACATCTGCTGTAATTTCCATCTTTAGATCAATTTCGTTTTCTATCTTCCCCACATATACAATGTCATGACCCGTTGAGAATCCCGAGAAGTGCCAAAAAGCTGCAGCTTATGACATAATATCGCAACTAGTTTTACTCGGATACCCCCTCGTTTATAAAACTGCCAGCTCAAAACGGACCAACGCGTTGAAAATCTGGCCCCTAGAAAAAGCATCATTCACCGAACATCCAATCTCTTGAGCGTATTAGGGAGAAGGTGTCGACACCAGCACGAATACGCTATAACTGGAAAAGGTGGTTCTTCTTCTAGGTCGGTTTATCCGCTAAAGATCATGGGCGAATTACAGTGATAGACTTGACGAGATTACATCAACATGACCGGATAAAACGAAAAAATCTTTTTTTAATCTTCGAAACATAATCGATCTCTCGAATTCGATCATAAGCTCAAAACAGTACCGTTGTAGCTGCTAATGCAAGCATAAGGTGACGACCATACTTATATTTACACAAAAAATTTTTTTAAAGAGTACGCATACATTAAATCGTTTAGACAACTGACATCAAAATGTCATAACCTAAGGAGTACGGAGTCAAGAAACCTTCATATTTTGTTGAAAAACTACATCATCTAAAAGCTATTTGAAATTCAACAAACTTCTATGATTGTTTTTTTCAAGCGCAATTTGAGACAAATGTAATCACACAAGTCATTCACGATTTTATTTCGCACCATTTCAACTTATGTAATTAAAGAGCTAATTTTCCTTTCCTTTAGTAATTTAAGTTAACGTGCACTTCAAACGATCAAGCTACGAAACGACATATTTGAGCAAGAAAAAATTCCATTTGAACGGTGGCAAATTAAATCAATGTGAACTTCACACGATCTCAAGCTACGAAACGACAAATTTGAGCGAGAAAAAATTGGGTCTTTTCGATTATACCACCCTAAATTATGAAAAAAATGAAATGAAAATTTTTATTATATAATTGGGACGCTTTTACTAGAAAATTCACTATATTATTATTATGAGTTTGGTAAAAACGAACCATTTTTACTTAATTGAGCCTCACACTGACTTTTTTTCATTTAGGGGGGGGGGGGGGGTTATTCCATTAAATTTGAGCGAGAAAAAAATTCCATTTGAACGGTAAGATTCCATTACGAATAACTCAAGTGGCAGTAAGGAAATAATTTGGAAAAAGAAATCTTTTGATAGAAATGCAATTCTTAAAAAGTGGTGGATTCGTTAATCGGTCCAGAAGTGTCAACTTTAAGGGCAAAAAATTCTAATTTTTTTTTATATTTACTGAAAATCTTGGCACGCCCTCTTGTCTCACAAGATTCCTAGATCCTGTTATGAACATAGAAATTTCGGAAACTTTAATTAGAGAAACCAAGGTTATTTCATCTGAAACAGCAATACATCCCCTGCAAGAGTGCTCAATGTCATCCGCCTCCTCGAGGCGAAAACGGCTACCACGAAATGGATGACGCCACCTCCATCATGAAAGTAAGACCCTACCGTCAGCTTCGCCAAGGCCCGAGAAGGGCCGTATCGACACGAGTGTATGAACGGATCAGTCCGAGGACTCACCACTACTATACCCGGATTGCTCCTATTCAACTGTTCGATTTTTATTGGGAAGATGGGAAGAAAAAAACATCCACAGACCTGTATTTCAGCCATCTCGATTTCGCCCACCATTGCATCTAGATTGTCTAACTGCGTGTCTGTTTTGGCCAAAAGAGACTCCTTGTATCTCTTCCTCCTCAACACACACTTGGCTCTGTCTGTCTTCTCTTGCTGTAGTAACTGTCTCGCCACTTGTCTCTCCCGTTCAAGGTCAGCCTATACACACACAACAAAGCACAAATATACATCTGTTGTTCACTTGCTGATATATTCGTTCAATTATTTGTTCACGAAACGAATAAACCTTGAATTTTAAGACGCCTTTTTCTCAAAAAATGATCTAGACAAAACTTACTTAGAATTTCAGCAGAATTAATATGGTGTTATTTGTTTTTCGAAACTCGTGCCCAAAAATTTATCTCAAAAGTGGAATCTTTTTGGCTTTTTAGTCAATCAGAAATTACGCAGAAACTACCGGGTCAATTACTGACAAAATTATATCACAGTTAGCCTCTTATAGAGCCTGACAAAATTTAAAAAGGTTAATATCTCTTCAAATTTGAGCAAAACGTTTAAAATAGATTTTCAAATGAAAAATGGGTTTTCTATTACTAAAAATGACACATTTCGGCAATTAAACAAAAATAAATGTAATTGTACAAAAGTTAAAAGATTATCCTTTAAGTTTGTTGGGTTGCATAAGAGGCTCACTTTGATATAACTTTGTCAGCAGTCGATTCGGTAGTTCTGGCCTAACTTTTTGAATGACTAAAAACAGCCAAAATGACCCATTTTTGCGGTATAATTTTAGTTCCGAATTTCGCTTAACTAATTGCACCATATTAATTCTGCTTAAATTTTATGTACCATATTAATTCTGCTTAAATTTTCTAAATTTAGCCCAATTTTAATTTTAAATTTCAAGTTTTATTCGTTTTGTCCTAATAATTTAAATCAGCATAGTGCTGATTTAAATCTCGAAAATAAACGAACAATACTGAAAAAACATCACCTATTTCATGGCAAACATTACCATAACACACTATATAACGTGTAACAAAAGTAATAATTTTTGAGCCGAGGATTTGCTGGTGCGCGTGCAGTAAATCGCTGTATCAGAAAATTACCATATCAGTAAACTGATTTATGAAACGATTACTTATTAATTACGCAACCAGTTTCGTCATATTAAGCAAAAACTGAGCTTAAAATAAACACATCAAGGAACCAAAATGAAAAACTTTTCTCGATTGACTACACTATTTCAACTCTTTAATTGTAAAACTTTATTTAAAAAAATGTTAGTCATAATTACTGGCAAGTAAAGAAATCAACTTTTCAAAAACATTTTTTTGAAAACGTTATTATTTGGAAAAATGCATTTTCGTTTTACTGAACACTTTTTTAACAATTTTCGTTTTCCTGATCAAGTCATTTCATTTTCTGTTTACCTATCTCGTCTGCCCGTTTTCTGGTTGCTGATACATCGGTTTACCGAACTAACACAGGTTTTTCTATAACCAATGTTCAAAAAAATACAACTTAAACATATCATGGTCAAATTAGCTGCCGGTACACAAGACATAAAATACGTCGAAGTTTTTTTTCAGAAATGAACTGAATATAATACATTTTTTAATCGGTTGTCTTTCTTCAATAAAATCAACGGTGACGAGTCTGATCCAGAACGTGAACTTAATTGGCAATTATGAGGGACAATAAGGCAAACAAAGCAGAAACAAGGCACCCAATTAGAAGAAAATTATTAGCCGGATACTGAATCACTATTTAAAAGCAGTTAGTCTGATTTTGATTCGATTTGAGGGCCAGCAAATTGTGAAACTATAATTCGTTTACCACCTGATTCGTTCAATTACCTGCCAAAATGCCTTCGTTTTGTTTGTTTTGCTCTTTATCACGTTCAATCTCTAAATCAAACCCGTCTCCGAAACTCACAAAGCAGTAAATAACGAAAAAATACTTAAGCAGATACCAGCTGATCCGAAAAAAAAGCTTTCAGAAAAAATTAGGCCAGCACTATTTTGTCGTCGAATGATGAAGTATGAAGTTACTAGGCTGCTGTTATAAACAAAACCGAAAATGAACGAAAACTAGAAATGGTAAATTAACAAACACCAAAGGCAAAATTTGAATACAACGGTTATTCATAACGTAAATATACTAACACAAGTATCTTTTTGATGGTACCGCAGAATTGATGAACTTTTTCTATTGTCTGTTGAATTTTTGTTGTTCTTCATGACAAATTAATTAAGACTTTGAAAGTCAAAAGCCGATAAAAAAGACCGCTTTCATAGATTTAGCCACGAAAATATTCCACAATAAATTCACAAACGATAGGCCGTTTACTAATTTTTTCGAGTCGTTAAAACAAGTCCTGGCCATTTTTAAATTTTGGATCTTAATAGCGTCAAAAATTAATGTTACCTCCAGGCCAGATGTGAGAAATAAATCGCTGGATTTCAATTTACTATAAATGAAGTCATCAAATTATTCTGTTAGATAGGTGATTCTGTTATACAGGTTCTTCATACAGCGAAAGTTTGTACCACAAAAGAGCCCCATTTTGCACATGCAAATTGATTAGATGAATCAACAAATTATTCCTAGCTGAACTCAATAGAATGTTCACTTGCCTGTGTCTTTCTCTGGAACATGTGTAACTGGTCTCTGGCCTTCTTTAATTCCAGCACTGCCCTGTCATTGTCAGTCACTCTGCTATTCTGCTTCTTTTTACTCTTTCCAAACACATTGCCCATCCCTCACACAATGTATAACAAAATTGCCTATCAAAATTGCTAATCAGTCACTGTTAGTAATATTTCCCCTAAGAACTGTAATCTTCATATTAATTGTCTGAAAAAAATTACAAAAATGTTACATTTATAACCAAAGGCAAAGCTGGCCATCGCATGACTTGTGATACAAAAATATAAAGGACAAACAACTAGGTTTTCAGCTAATTCTTATCTTATTTCAACCGAACCAAATCAGAAAAAAATAGACAAAGGGCTTCACTGACCTAATACTATTTGTTGGAAAAATTTAACTAACCTGAAAGATATCAAACTTTTGAAATTTCATTCACTACCTACACAATGTCAGTTAAAAACAGCCTTAAATAATTGCGTTGGTTCCAAAAAAAACTCGAATTAAACCAACTTTGAGAAAAAAATGTCAAAAAAGACTATTATCAGCAGTAACGTTTGGGTAAATGCCCTTTGGGCCGAAAAAAAAACTTGGTGATAAAACATTATGAGCTCAGCAAAGTTCTCACATTCCTCCCAGCACACTCAATTAAGAAACAAGACGAGGATAGCCAGTTATTTTGCATGTAGCACAATGCTCCGACCATATGCATAACAAAAACTTTTAAAAAAACTTTTATTTTTATCTTCAACTGAGTGTCGTTTTAAGTGCGTGGAGCGATTCGTGAACTAAAAAAACGCGTAGAAACTTACTTAAATTTTTTTCAGAAAACTATTATTGCAAAGAAAACACTAAATTAAGCATTCAAATTAAATTTCTTTATAGTAAAACTCGGTTTTTTAAGCCTAAAAATTTAAATGAAAAATATTTTGATGAAAAAAAAATTTCAAAAAATTTTCCTTTGCTCGCTCGAAATTGAACTAAAAATAAAAAATTGTAAATCAGTTTTTCTCAGCATTGGGACAACTATTTGAAAAATAAGGTCGTTCAAATCACCCTGAAAGGGCTTTAATTTGGTATATCACTTGATCCAATCCGATGATTATTTGTGGAACATGATTTAGCAAGGAAAACAAAAAAAAAGAAAAACTAAAACACCCGAATACTAAGTTCCTCCCTAATTTCAATGGTCGGAATAATTATTATCACCCTTCATACGAAGCAATATGAGAGGTCTAAGCCGATATAAGACTAACTAGCCGCAACATAACATATTAGACTAACTAAGGCAAATAAACCTTCTAAGCAAAATCAAAAAACATTACATTCAAGGTTGAACATGTTTCGGTTAGAACGGGAAATTTAAATGCAAAGACGTCTGTTGACAAAATGATTCAGTGATTTTTTAAACTAGCTGTTACCGTATAAGAAAATGTTACGTTTTGATAGCTCATGTAAGCGCAAACGTAAGACAACACTGCTCGAATCAGGGCGAAGTCCTAAATGTTCCGACTACCTTTCAAGGTATATGAAAAAAGAATCGCATAAAAAAATTTAATGTAAAATAATGAAACATTTAAAAATTTGAGATTTTTGTGAAAATCATCCCCCACACGCCATATAAAATACAGTGATCGATTTCGCTCCTAGACACAAATCAATTATGGCCAATAAGCTTCCTTCAACCAAAGTGGAACGATTTCTAAGACGGATTAAATCTCCGCTTATGCGCTAATAGCGTTAAATATCTGCTTCTGCTTATACTCCGATCATTCCCGCCTTTGCGAAACAAACTTTAATAGACTTAGTTATTTAGCAGGTCAAACACACTTTCTGCGAAGGTTATTTTGCAGTTTAAATCGGTGAGGCTGCGCTAGACCTCGAGCAAGAGGTCAATTGAGAGCGCGGCCTCACACACTATCATTACCACTTGAATTTGGCGGGGTATCAAATTCTCGATGAGACATTCTCAAAGTAAACACCTTGCCACTATGTTGAATGAATGAAAAATAAGATTTACAATTTAATTAACCTGGTATTTTATGTCGCAGGCAAGGGATATTTTGTCTTATACCCCATTCAACAGCCGATAAAAAGGAATTCGATGACAAAAATTGATATTGGCAAGTGATGAACGCTTGCTCGACTGAGCTAACATTGGTAATCGGTGGTATGACGCTCCCTTACAGGCAAATAACAACAAGGATAGCCGATTACTGTGGCACAATGTTCCGACCACCAAAGTATTTAAAAAACGACAAAAAGCTTTTTTTCAAATAAGTGAAATTTTTTCTGCGTGGGGAGATGAAAAAAGTCTAATGTAAAACGATATCTGACATTCGTAGAAAAATAGGTAAACTGGACACAAAATTTTTTCTAGGAAATTGAATAGAAAAATAAAAAAAAAAAAATTCAAAAAAAATTTTAAAAAACTTTCCAATTTTTTGAAGTTTTTGGTTCCCAAAATAGCTTCCCAAATTAAGTTAGCAGGGCTGAAACTTTGCATAACTAAGCTGCTGTTCGTCTGATCGTTCGCTTTATTCGCTCGAAATTAGACGAAAAATCAAAAATTTCAAACCGGTTTTTCTCGACACCAGGAGAAAATTTTGGGACTCAAAAACTTGAAAATTTATTTTTTTTTTCGTTTTTCTAGTCAGTTTTATTCAAAAACTGTTTTCCAATTGACCTATTTTACTATGACTTTCAAATATGCTCAAGTTATGTTTTTCGTTCAGATTTTTTTTATCACAAAATGCAGAAAAAACGACACCAATTTGAGAAAACATTTTTGATTTTTTTTAAGACTGTGGTCGGAACATTCAGTGCTACTTGCCTAGTAACCGGCTATTCTTGTTACTTGTTTGTTTCTTATTATAGTACTTCTACTTTGAAAGAAAATTGAAATAATATTTTTTCTTCAATAAAAATGTAAAAGTTTGCAATAAATGCCTAAATTTCCCATTTCATAACTTTTCTAGAGTCAACTATTAACCGGTGCCCAATTTACCGATCCTCTAAAGAACCACTTCATCATCCGCTGAAATCGGAATAGTATCAACGCTTTACTATTACTAGTAAATTTTTCTATATATATTACCTAGAATTACGTAATATCTGGTCACATCATTGAGATATTCTAAACAATGTTATTTTTTGAGGAATGGGATTATTTTTGTTGATTTCAGGAAAACCTTTGCCGTTAGTTATTTTCAAACTTTTAACTCAATATAACCAAAAGATAAATTTAAAAAAAAACATTATTATAGTTCTATAACAAGCATTAGCAGGATAAAATTAGACAACAGTAAGCAATTTGATTCGCTTACTTCCGAGCAGGTGTTTTAAATTTACAATAAAAAAAATCTCGTACACGCTATAGAAGTTATTATGCTATCCTGTCCTATTCATTTAGATATATGAAGTACCTCTCAACCAAAATACTGCAGACACTTAGATGCGATATTAATTGTGTCTATTTCAAGTAATCAATTATTTAAAAAATCCAAGCGGCATCAATCAATTCAGCAGGTAAGGTGCTTTTAACATTGTATGACTCGACTGTGAAAAAATTGACTGTGAGGCTACAATCCGGCTAAACTCAACAGGTGTGAATGATCTTCAATCTAACGAAATCAAATCACAGTTAACTTTGAGATTGCAGTAAAACTAATTTTAAAAAAAACAGAGTAAGCCTAGAAAAATAATTTAAAAAATCGTTCCAAAAAAGGTTCGCTGCTTTTGTAGTTTTCTGTATGTGTGGGACAAGTAACTTTATGATGACACCGTTACCTTTAATTTGTCTATTAAAAATTAACTAAATACAATTAAAATTAAGCTCATCACTCGTTAATTGATTTTTTACGTTTATTCGATTTATTTTTCATTGGACGTTCCAAACTCTTCTCTTCCACACTTTCTGTCTTATTTATCTGCAGACAGTTTATTGCACTTCTCAAACTCTGATAAAACAATTCACATCTTTGGTAAAATTCGATTCGAAACTTCGAGGGCTGTCATATGAATCTACCTACACGCTAGATGTTTGAAAAAATTAACCTTCGTCAACTTTAAGTTATGTACGGGGGCATACCTTTCGTTCAGCTTCCCCACTACCAACTAAGATTAATAATTCACAATGCTTTTACAGAGCCGGCAAAAATTGTCATAAATTAAAATCATAAATCCAGTTATGTGCCAATTTTTAAAGCAGCTAATTTTTGTAACGAGACTTCATCTGCAAGAACGAACAACAAATTTTGTTTTCATTTCATCTCCATACCATAAGTTTTAGCATGCAAACTCTTTGATCCAAAAAATGTTCGAGCACTGAAGGTACTGCTGAAGTTTTGCTGAGCCTAGCCGCTGCAATTCATTCATTACTCTTTTAAAAAAATATATGAAATACCAGTGGGGGTCCCAGAGTCATCCGACTCTTCCAGGTGGGACCAGCTACGGCGAAATTGATGACATCTTTCTCCCATACGAAAGAAAGGCCCAAGGTAGAACGGTGGAAGTACAAGTAAAAAAAACAAGGTGAAAGTAGAACGGTGAAGTAGAAGCAAAAAAAGCACAAGCAAGAAACTGTCGAAAAAAATATTGTAACGGCTGAAATGAAAACAGAAAAAAAAGCATTCAAAAAAACTGATACTACGGTATTGGATTGTTCAATTTGCAGTGAAGCAATGCTGGTTTTCCGCAATTTTCAGCTTCAATTTGGTTTTTTAACTTTCCATCTGTCTTTAACTTCCCATATGTCGTTGAGATATATCTTTCTAGCTGAGTTGAAAACATATGAAACGAGAGTCATAGCAATGTCAACCATCGCTGTTTCGAAATCCAGCCTCATTGTAGAGCTCGAGACAAAAAAATTATAAAAGCGGTAAATTTAAGCTTTCAGGTAATTTAAACTGAACTAGCGTGTATCGCACCTCCGGTGCTTCGAATTTAAGAAAACTCATAAAAAACCGCATATATTTGAAATAACATTTGCATCACTTGAGTGTATTCTGACAGCTCCCAATCACAGGGTTGGTAATTTCATATTTTGGAAAGTTATTCAACTCAAATTTCGAAAAACAATACAATTTTTTTCATATCTTATTTCGTTGAAAATTTTTAAAATGAAAGAAAAACGTCACATCTCGGAAACTAAAAGCCATTGAGCAGTTGCATTTGGATGCAACAAGATTTACAACCCTGGAAAGTACTCTGACAGTCCCCAGGGTTAGGAATTCCAAATTTCGAAAAAAAAAATTTAAATTTAGGTTTTCTGAAAATTATTTTGAAAAAATCAGAAAAAACGTCATATCTCGAAAGCTTCGAGGGTTTAAACAGTCATATTTGAAGGGAAAAGTCGCAACCCCAAGGAGTGTCCTGACAAACCCTCACTATAGAGATAGGAATTTCAAATTCTCAGAAAATTTTTATATCTAGTTCTTTGAACATTTAAAAAAAGAGACATTAGAGACGTCACATCTCGGAAACTGAAAGCATTCCGACGCAAAATTTGCAACATCATACTCCTGAGAAGAGTGTTTCCCAGTACCCAAATAAAAGGTTGAGAATTTCAAATCTTCTGAATTTTTTAAAATCTAAGTTATCTGAAAAATTTTTTTAAAGAAATCTTAAAGCACGTCATATCTCGAAAAGTCCAAGGATTTGAGCATTCATATTTGGAGACAAGATTCGCAACTCCTGAGACCCTGAGATTACTTTGACAGCTACCACTACAAAAACAACGAATTTCGAATTTTGAAAAAAAAATTCAGTTAAAGTTTTCTGAAAAATTTTTTGAAAGAATCACAAAACAAGTCAGATCTCCAAAATTACAAAGATTTGAGCAGTCATATTTGGAAGCAGAATTTGAAACTCCTGGTAGTTCTTTAACATAGCCTCACTATAGAGATGAGAAATTGAAATTTTGTGAAAATTTCTATTTCTAAGTTCTTTGAAAAAATCCAAAAAAAACGTCATATCTCGAAGATAAAAGGATTTGAGCATTCATATTTAGAGGCAAGATTCGCAATCCCTGAGACTACCCTCACATTTTTCAACTACAGGATTAACATTTCCAAAAAAAATTAAATGTAAGTTTTTTGAAAACTTTTTTAAAAAATCATAAAAAAACGTCGTATCTCATAAACTCCAAGAATTTGAGAAGTGAAATTTGGACGCAAGACTTGCAACGCCTGAGAGTACCCTGACGTCACCAAACTACAGGGTTGAGAATTTCACATTTTATGAAATTTTTAAATTTAATTTTTCCAGAAATTTTTGAATTTTTTTTTATCTCGTCAACTAAAAGTATTTGGTTATTCAGATATGGAGGCCAAAACCGCGACAGCTGGGGAAGTCCTGACAGCATCCAAATATTGAGTTGCTAATTTCAAACTATTTCAGCGACTTCACATTTTCAAATTAATCAGCGAGTGTATTTGACTTCAGATATCGATTGGCTAAGCTTGATTGAAAAAAAATTGAAATTATCACACAAAGGCGAAGCAGACTCACAGCCTCAAACAAACATAGCATTGCAAGCTATCCGACTAATGAAAACTAATGCCTTTGAATGGGGGTAAATTTGAACAACAAAATTTCTGAAAAGTCCCCAAGTTTTTGTCTCGAATGGTGTTCAATTTGAGAAAACGACCAACACAACAGATGGCATGAAATAGTGTTTTCAAAAAGTTTTTGGGCCTTCCCCTATAGAAACGCAAAACAAAGAAAACCTATTTTCTACCTCAGAAGACGCAAAAAAATCACCAACCCAATAAAAGATTCTAAGCAAACTAAAAATTATACAAAAACCAAAAAATTGCAATTAAATTATCTTGCATCACAAGAAAAGTAAGAAATGTGGCAGTGGCAGGACAATCTACCCTATTCCAAACTACCCTATACCATTCTACCCTATGCCATTATATCCTACATACCAATCTACCCTATGCCAATCTACCCTATACTAATCTACCCTATACTAATCTGCCCTATATACCATAATGAGGTATCATAATGTAATCTTTCAAAGTCCTAATTAGAATCGGAAAGATACAGCACGTGTTAATTCATTTGAGTCTAAATTTTTGGACTCAATTTGAGTCTTTCACTTAAAGAAATTGTTCTAAAGACTAAATCGCAATTAGAGCCTCAAAATCTGAAATTTATTTCAATTAACAAGTTTTAATCCCCAATTTTCAAAATCACGTACAAGAATGAAACCAAAACTACGTCATTATATCAATTTTCTTTGGAATAACATCTACTAAAATGAGTCAAATTTCTTGGGGTTTATCCCAACAGAATCGGCGAACGCTTGTAATCGGTGGCCACGAGTTTACGAAAAAACAGGAAACAAAGAATGGAAACATTCACTGGAAGTGTTCAAGATGGGGGTCCCATAAATGCAAAACGACAGCAATAACCAGAGAAAACGATCTTATTTCCTGTAGAAATGAGCACACGCACGAAGTATTTCCTGGTCGTTCGGATGCAAGGCTTCTCGTGCAGAAAATGAAACAGGACACAAAAATACAGCAAGTACCAGTCAACAGCATAATTATAGCAAACGGCCTGCAGTCTGTCTCCGAAGAAAAAGCAGTTCAATTAGCTCTTCCTTGCCGGTCGGCTATTAACCGGGCCCTCAATCGACAGAAGGTAAATGATAGACCCACGTTGCCTCCAATTGTCGACAGACATTTTGAAGTGCCAAAGCAACATGGGGATTTTTGCGTCTTCGATAGCGGCATTGAAGATCCAGAAAGGGTGTTGATTTTTGGAGATCGGGACAATATCCAGAGTTTGATATTACATCGAGATGTTTGGCTGTGTGATGGAACGTTCAAAATTTGCCCGATTCAGTTTTATCAACTCTACACCATCCACATTCAACTCGCTGGCTTTTACCCCCCTGCATTTATGCACTGTTGCCCAACAAAACAGAACAAACTTACAAAAAGCTACTGAAGGGGTTATCAGCCATCACCGAAAACACCGAGCCTCACCGCATTCTCCTCGATTTTGAACGTGCAGCACTGAACGCTTTCGCTAGTCACCATACCGGAGCGTTGCTGAAAGGCTGCTATTTTCATTTATGTCAAGCGTTCAACCGGAAAATAAACGAAGTGGGCCTGAAGCGACTGTACGAAACTAATCATGATCTCAATTTGTCATTGCGCTTAATTCCAGCTCTAAGTTTCGTACCAGTTGAAATGGTCAATGCTGCTTTTGACTTGGTCATTGAGGAAATCGAAAACGTGTCGGACAAATTTGATCTTGACGACAATATCACTCAAAAACTTGATGAGGTAGCCTCAAACTTTCAGCGCACCTACATTAAAGGCGAAACCATCGGAAGGAATTCTCGCGAACCTCTCTTCCCAGTAAACCTTTGGAATCATTCCGAAGAAGCAGCTGCTGGGTTAATAAGGACAACAAATGCTGTAGAAGGCTGGCATCTTGGCGTTGCTACTCTCTTCAAAGGAAACCACCCATCCGTTCACACCTTTCTGGAACAAATAAAACTGGATGCTGCAAATCAGAAGTTTAATATAATGAAAGCAATGGGAGGAAACAGCAACCCCAGTCGAAAGAAGTACAGGGAATTGAACGAGAAAGTGAAAAACATTTGCAAAAATTTTAACAAAGATTCTATTTTAACCTATTTGTATTCTCTCGCGCAATTAAGTCATTCCTAACTCAGTTTATTTTAACAAACTTTGTGAATTTTTCAAAAATTCAATTTAATTTCTAAAAAAATACACTTTTTGAGGTTCCCGTGGCCGTAGAGGGCTGAAGTTTTGGGAGGTAATAGAGGCCAATACCAAAAGAATTTTACCTTCTCCCTCACCCCGCCCCCCAGTACCGCCTTGGCCTGGTACTGGGGGGTCTACCCCTCCTTTTGTGATCAACTAGTCAAACCCTCAGTAATTTTCGAATTTCATTCAAAATTTGACTTCTTGGTGATTTGATCTTTTGATTTTCAAACACAGGCATTATCCGCTACGCTATGTCGACTTGATGTGATATGACTTTTGTTTGTTTAAGAAATAGCCGCAACGCATTTCTATAGCACCATTGGATTAAAATTTCTGTTCGTTCATGCTTTGAACTCATTTCCATTTTGAACGCGCAAGTTTTACGTTGCTTTGATATTTTGTTCACGTACGTCAATTATTCTTTGATCATAATTAATGGTTCTTTGATTTGTTCGGAAATATACTGTTTCGGATTCTTCAAGAGGATGGGGTAAGTTTCAATTGCTTTAATTATAGGGTAGAATGGTATAGGGTAGATTGGTATAGGGTAGATTGGTATGTAGGATAGAATAGTATAAGGTAGATTAGCATAGGGTAGATTGGAATAGGGTAGAATGTCATGGAACCAATGTGGCAACAAGGTGACAAAAGATAAGCAGAACACCGACATTATCTTAAATGTTTTGATAATGAATACTTTCGGTTTAAAATAACATGTCCTGGCCGGCTTCGAGCCTATGCCCTTTGCCGTCTACTTGCTTTGGTAACCAGTAGTTTAATTTGAAATTATAATAAAGTGAGTACGTCAGCTGCAGAATTGATGCTGCACAAATGATAGGTGCACAAACAATTCAGTGATTTTGTTTAACTAGTTGTTAACCCGAAAAAAGTCTATATTCCGATTCGGTAACGCTTGGTATTCGTAAGCGTAACAGCAGGAAAATTCTTCTAACATTGAAGAAAATGTCTGGTCCATTGTTAAAACCACTCAAAATATATATCGTCTGCTTTTATAACAAAAATAAAACTCGTCAAAGTACTTAAAACTAACTCTTGCTGATATTTTAGAAACAGCTATTAACATAGCTCTGAGTTCATAATTTTGGTTATATTGCTAGAACCGACAAAAAATTAAACTTGCGTCTGACTTTTAACCAGTAGCTAAGCAATTTATGCACACAGTTTAGTTGATTTTAACTAGCTATTCAACAAGAATAATAAGAAGCCTTCTTAAATTCATTATTGGTTTAAAAACAGCTCTTCATTTTTGTTGTTTTGTTGATACTTCTTTGGAGCGAAGAAAAAGCAATAAGCACATGCAGTGTTTAGTCTAAAGGCGGGTCTAAATTGGTCTGAGGCAACGTCAAATTTTGATCGACTCTTATAATTCTAATCCCAAACAAATCCTTTTACTGAACCAGTAATATTCTAGTTGAAATCAACTCCAAGCCAGAAAAATATTATTTACCTAACCTGCCGATCAGACCTAAAGAAACAATTGGACCAAGGTAAGCTTATTAACACATTCAAAAACTCCAATTAAGGTCCAAAAACTCCAAATTTGAGATGCAATACAAAAACGTCCTTCATCCTATTTTTAACGATTTTCGTTAACTTTCGTGGAATCAAAATTCGTGGAAAATTTCGTGGTCGTATATTTTAATGGGGGTGAAGGGTTGCAATAGTTCAAAAAAATTAATTCTCGAGAAAAAAATGTACAACACCCACGGCAATCGATCTCTCCACCTTGTTAGTGACAAATAACTGTCACAATACTCATCCAGAATGCAAGATAAAGGAGATTTTTCATTGATGGTTTTTATATCCAACTATGATCATATTTGTTATACCGTTTCATTTAGACCTGAGAAGGATTCAAACTCTCGACCCTGTAACTGCCACCTCACCTTCCTAACAACAACTACCATCTTACCACACTTTAAGCTATGAATACATCTTCAACATATGGCAGACACACTTACATCTGCTCCAAGTGTCGCTCCTCGGTGAAGAAGAAGATGCAATGGGGTCCCTGGAAGAACTGCTGCATCATGGAGGCACAACAGGTGCAACAAAGGGAATCTCCGAAGAGATCAGCTGTGTTGAATGAGCACAGCAGTGGAGCTATGACTGCCAGAGCTGCTATTGTAAGCAAGGGTGCCTTTTGGGGGATGTAGATATTTTTCAGGAATTCGAGTCCCTCGATTTTTACGGCACCAGTTTTAGGTCTACCAATCAATTTTTGGGCGCCTTCAAAAATGCAAATGAAACTTTAATAACATGCCAGCTAAACCAATCATCGTGTTAAGCTTGTATCAATTTTTTTTTAAAAAAATCAATTCTAATCATCTATTGAAATTGCTTGAGTCCCAAGTGTACATTTTTGTACCAATCGCAAAATCTGACAAGGGTAAAAAAATTAAAAACCAGTAATAAACCATTACATAGGAACCAGTAATAAACCATTCTAACCAAGTCCAAACTTAAACTTCATTTTTTTGAACGCCAAGTTATATTCTGTAATGGCACAAAATGAACCCTGGACGCATTGAAAATAGCATTAACAGATTAAGATCAAGCATGCGCTGAAAAAACCACGATATGTCAAAACCTCTAAAAAGTTCCCAAAAACGGCATTTTTTTCTGGGAATTTTTCCAGCAAAGCAAAATATTGTTATTCGGTGCATTATTCAAACCACTCGAAAAATTTAACGTCTGCTCTTATAACAAAAAATAAGAACTAGTCAATAACTATTAAGCTACTTAATTTGGGAGATCTCAGCTTGGTCGATCTAAAAAACATGTACACAAAAACGTTCTATATTTTTTGAACCCGCTCCCCCCCCCCCGCTAAAATAGAGAAACTCTTAAAATTGCCCTTCACAAAAGTGCTATGTTTTAGGACACCTCCATTCTGACCCCCAAGGAGAGCAACAAGAGCAAGAAAGACACTAAGCAGAAGCAGAACCTGTTGGGTCCATTCATGACTGCCCAGAAGACCACTTGTGGTGCACTGTGGAACTGGGACGAGGGACTCACCGAACACAGGCACACAAACAGCATTATAATTATTACATAAAATAGTTACATAATATAATTAATTAAATAATATAGTAAAATAATAGACAAAACCGGCTATAATTTCATAGCATCTCTTGGCAAACTCACATTAAATTCGCGCGACTGCGGCGGTTTGTCTTATTTCGGACAAAATAGCATCTTTTAAGCAAACGATAGAAATCGGATATTTGCCCTACTTTTTGAAAAATGTCTGATGTTTGCCCTACCCTACCCTAGTAAAGCCGCTTTTAGGATGTTTGCAACACTTTTTTGTTTTTCGGATGTTTGACATATCGGATTTTTGCACGGTACCCTATCATACCATAGTTACATAATATAATTAAATAAGATTACATCATATTACAAAGAATTGTTACACTACATGGCAGTTTCCCATTACAGCCCCGCTAGCAAATTATAGCCCTTCCATGATAGAAAAATCCTACCATGATTGGGCTACATAATTTTGGTACTAAGCTCGGGGCGTAATATATACGCTGCTTGGCAACAATTTTTCACCCCCAAGAAAGACAGAATTCATTGATTAAGCATGCACGAATTTTTTCTTTGTAACGAATCATGCCATGCTCTTTAGAGAAAGATCCATGATTTGTTAAAAATCGAGGATTGATCATTTTTCGTTCTCAGGAAACCTCACTTGGGCATTGCTCCGGCTGATGTCTATGCGTGGAGTGAAAATTACGTCAAGACTGCCAGAGCGCCATAAGAGAAGTCGGAGTCACGACATAGTCGCTAACGAGACAACTTCGCCAACAATGAAAACTTGAAAAATGAGAGATTAGAAAGATGATGCTAAACTTACAAATGAAACTACTAAATTATGGGCGAGTAAGACAGTTGATTGAATTTAAACATGGTCATCTTATGAACAAATTTTTCGGGATGACTGAATTTCTAAGCTAAACTAAAAGTGCAAATAACTTAAACTATAAGATGCAAACAAGAGTGAAAAAAAAACTATCTAACATATTAAAAAGAGTCATCCAAATAGATCTTTTCTAAAAATTAATCGTCCATAATTCAGAGTGTAATTGAACTAAATTGCTTCAACGGCTTTATTAAATTTAACTTGAGCTGCTTATTGGTGCGGTAAAAAACCGTGCTTCATCAAAAATTATTGCTGCGGTAAAACTAATGATCATATGTGACCAGAAATTAACGAATTAACAATTTAATTTTTGAAATACAACGTAGCTGGAAGATGTTACTATAGCAGGTGGCTATCACGTATCACTACGTGGCTAAACAGAAACAAACATTTTTAAAAAGATCAAACAGTAAAAAAGATTCTCTTTTATTTAAAAGCTAAACTCTCTTATATTTCGGAGGCAAAGCAGCACTTCGCAAACAAACAAACAAGTGGTTGCTTAATTTTTTACACAGATGCGAAGCAGAGCTTCGCAACACTTGCGATACATCAAAAACGTTGCATTACAAGATAGTGAATAAAAGAGACGAAAGTTGAAAAACATAGCCAACAGACAGTTGGAAGACAGTGAATGAAGCAAGCCAACAGAAGGATCCAGACGACGCCGCCTTCCAGTGGTGGATCCGACATCTTGGGCCCCACCAAGATGCAAATGGCGTCAAGCCCCCCCTCCCATTGGGTCGGGAGAAGCTCAGAAGTCTCCGGGTTTTCGGTTACGGAGCGTCTGAAGCCGGCCAGGCTGCTCCGTCTGCTCATCCTTATACTACTACTCCGCTCCGGCATTAATCCAAACCCTGGTCCAGGGCCTTACTTTTGCTCCCCTTGCTCTTTCCGCATCAAACGCACCCAGCCCAGTGTCTGGTGCCACATCTGTGGTTACATTCACCTTAAATGTAGTGGTCTTACCCACCTTAACCAACACCACCCTGACTACTATTGCCCTACCTGTACCTCTACCTACATTTTACCTCCCCCAGGCACCAGGTCCTCTAACTTGACCACCCCCAACTCCCAAACTTGTTCAACTTCCCTAACCGCCCCCAACCCCACCTCCCTAACCCCCCCTCCCCCTCCCACCCTTCCCACCTCCTCGAATTCCTCCTCCCAAAATCGCGCAAATCGTAATCGTGTAAATAGTGTAAATAACTCAAGTTCAAACAACCATTTTAATCATACTGCTGTTAATAATGTAAATAGTTCACCACACCCCGCCAAAGGCCTTTTAAAAATCCTTCAATTTAATTGCAACGGTATCTCCGGAAAAGCACCCGAAATTGCTGCTTTCTTATCTCAAAATCAAATTCATATTGCTGTCTTCCAAGAAACTAAATTAAGAAAGAAATCTCGAAACCCCTCACTTGGCTCACACTACACTTTAATTAGAAAAGATTAGAAAAGATCGAGAAAAAGAAGGGGGCGGTCTTCTCATAGCCATACATGAGTCGATACAATACGAAGAAATAAATATTAACAACGATGGAACACTAGAGGCTATGGGCATATCAGTGGTAGCCAGTTCATCCAAGCTTCGTATTTATAATTTCTACATCCCCCCTCGCTCGAGCTGTCCCCCTGGTTACTCTGCGTCCCTTGCCGAACTACTTGAACCTGGTGACGCCTTAGTACTCGGGGATGCCAACGCACATTCACAACTATGGAACTCCAACATCGAGGAAGATCAACGCGGCTCTGTACTTAGCAATGAAATAACCGAATCCACCTTTGCACCATTAAATGATGACACACAAACCAGAGTCCCTTTTAACTAAGAAAACCAACTCTCGTCACCAGATATTTCCCTCGCATCCCAATCGCTCTTACTCTCCACAACATGGACCCCAATTAAATCTCTAGGATCAGATCACCTACCCATTCTTCTAGAACTACCCTTGGATGATTTTATAAATTTTTCACCTAAAAGGACTTTTATAAATTTTTTAAAAGCAGATTGGATCAAATTCACAGAGGAAATTGAGGAGGGTTTCTTTTCAGCGGTTCCACCTTCCGGAGTTGCCGCCGGAGAGAAATTCTTGAGGGACCTGGTGCTCAGGGCAGCACGCCACCACATCCCCGCTGGCCGTATTCGCCACTTCACTCCCTCTCTTTCCCCCGAGTCCACTGCCCTTGCCGCCGAAAGAGATTTAAGCCGACAACAAAATCTCCCCCCAGAAGTCATATCCCAACTGAACTGTAGACTCATGAAACAGACAGCAAAGGACAAAGAAAATAAATGGCGAGAATTCCTCCGGACTTGCGACTACCGCACTGGTGCCAGAAAGTTCTGGAAAGTGGTACGCTCCTTAAATGGATCTAAGCCCGTGGCAGGAAGACACCCCATTACTTTTGGTTCTAAACCCATACACTCACCTCGTGATATTACCAGCTCTTTTAACAAACAATTCACCAATGCCAGACCCCACGCCTCTGACAAACTCCTTCGTATAACGAGAAGAAAAATTGCCAAACTACCGCTGTCAGACAGCCCAATTTTTACCCCTGAAAATACTAAACAAGCCATTGCAGACAGCAAACCATCGCGAGCGCTAGGTCCCGACGGCCTTTGTAATATACATCTTAAACATCTCGGCCGACTTGCTACTCAATACTTAACATACCTTTTTAATATCTCTTTGTCCGAAAACATTATCCCCCAAATTTGGAAAAATTCACAAATTGCACCGCTTCCAAAGCCCAATAAGGATCTTAAACAATCAACATCTTACAGACCTATATCCTTACTCTGCCCAGCAGTTAAAATTCTGGAGAGGCTCGTTCACCCCATCTTTACCAAACATCTCCCCAACGCCAAACACCAACACGGCTTCCGCCCTTTTCACTCCACCACCACAGCTCTCTCCACTCTCGAATTTTACATTTCAGACGGTTTTAACCAAAATCGCCCCCCTAAACGTACGGTACTGGCCACACTTGACTTATCTAAGGCTTTCGACATGGTGTGTCATCGCTCACTTGTGGAACTCGTTCATGACACTCCCCTCCCAAGAAGTCTAGTCCGCTGGCTAAGTAATTACCTTAATGGTCGACAGGCTGCCACCTCATTCCGTGAACACACATCCCCCCATCGAATAATCCACTGTGGCGTACCCCAAGGTTCTGTTTTATCACCCACACTCTTCAATTTTTATGTCCATGATGCACCGCCACCTCCCGATAATGTAAACCTTGTTTCGTATGCAGACGATTTCCACCCCTTCGCAAGCAGTTCCAATATTGATATCGCCTCAAACTCCATCAATAGCTACCTAAAAAGGCTCTACGATTTTTTCACCTCACGCAAACTAAGTTTCGCGTCCTCTAAAGGATCAGTTACACTTTTCTCCTCTTATAACAAAGAATTTAATAAAACACCTAGTGTTCTTTTAAATAACGAGGCGCTACCCCTAAACAAAAATCCAACAATCTTAGGGTTGCATTTGATCCAACACTTTGTTTTGCCACTCACTGCAAACAATCCGCTGAAAAGGCCAGACGCAGGATCGGAATCCTGAAGGCATTAGCAGGATCAACCTGGGGTCACTCCAAAGAAACCCTCCTCCTAACTTTTAAAGCTTTAATTCGCCCCATACTTGACTATGCAGCCCCCGCATGGTCCCACGCATCAAGTAACACCTCCATAAATTGCCTGCAGGTTTCCCAAAACCAATCCCTTCGCGTTGTTACTGGATCAAATCTAATGAATTCCACTGCCCACCTGCACAGTGAATCTGAAATCCTAACGGTCAAAGACCACCATACCCTTCTGTCATCTCAATTTTTTATCTCTACCTATCGTTCCCACCATCCCAGTAATTTTATACATTCACATCCCCCTCCTCCCCGTCTACTTCGACCCTCAATTATAAGCTGCTTCAAAGAAGACACCCAGAAAATTTTAACCGACTTTTCAGTCTACGCAAACCACCCTCTAATTCTGGACGACCGAGACGAAGTCTCCACTTTTATTTTTAACTACTACAAACCAATTTTAAAAGACAACCATACCTCCCTTGTAACCAAGTTCCTAGCCGAAACCCCTCCGTCTAAAGTTATTTGTATCCCTCCCCCAAAGATTGACCCCTCTGAAAAATCTCTCCCACGTCCCACGCGCTGTAAGCTCTCCCAACTCCGGTCTGGCTACAGCCGGCTCCTTAACACTTACCTATCCCGCCTCGACAGCTCCATCTCCCACCTTTGCCCAACCTGTTCCCTTGCCCCCCACACAACATGTCACCTTTTCAACTGCTCCCAAAACCCCTCCCCACTCACCCCAGCAGACCTGTGGTTTCGGCCGGTAGAGGTTGCTAAGTTCCTTGACCTGGAGACAGAAGAGCCCAACCCGACCCGCGTGGGCTAACAACAACAACAACAAGCCAACAGAAAAATTTCCTGATTTGAAAAGAAAACAAAAAATCATAACGAACTTTAACAGAGCCTGAACTAAGTTCATCGACTCCTAAAACTATCATTAAAAAAATTGAAAAACTAAATCTATAAAAACTTCAGGTTTGTATCGGATAATGTTTATAAATAGCCTTAGAAAAGCATTAAATCATGACTGAGGGGCAAACAGTTTAGATCGAAACAAAAACCCATGATTGGCGAGGTAAGCTAAAAAAAGATAAATGAATCGACGGATATAGGGACGAAAACGAAAAAATACTACTTAAATTGAGCTCAATCTAATTACTACCTAAATGACAGTGGTTTCACCTTTTCAAAATATAGTCAGCAGACAGTTGGAAAAGAATCATGAACGCAAGTAAACGGGAAAAAAATAACTTGTTTTTTGAAAGAAAAACATCGTGTTTCGAAATTTAAAGAAAAAATAACTACCTTGAAGCTCTTTGAATTTGAGGAAAAAATTATGAATTGTACTTTTTGATAAAATTAACCCAATTTGAGAAAACTTGATCGATACGTAAATTTATTATCACGCTGGTAAATCTGAAAATTGGAATCCACTTAGGAGAATAACGTTTTTTTTTGTGACACGAAACTAGAAGTCGATCACGTTTTTTGTGACCTTTTCACTTTTGATGTTCACTGTTCACGATAGTTGATTTTGCCTCCCTTTCAACAAAAGAAATGAACTGAACCTATAAAAATAAATTAAACTTCATACGACGAAAAAGTAACCAAACGTCAAACCGCAAAAAATCAAACTTTATCGTGAACAAATTTTAGACTTTTCTTAACAAAAAAAAATCAAAAAAACCTATGAAAAAATATTCACTAAGTTCATGATTCGTTAAAACTGAGCATGTCGGGAGCCTCAAGGTATAAGTAACTGCACATTATTTTTTACGATTTGTAAAATGTTGTTTACGGAAAAAAAATCTGGTTCCCGATTTCAAGTATACTTAAAAATGACAAATAATCGTGGATACACAACCTAATCAATGGTACACAATGTGATCGCTAGTACAGAACCTTCGTACATATTGGTTGCAAAAAATGGTAAAATTCACAGCAAAAAAAAACATCAAACAGGTCAGGTAAAAAAACTACAATTTTCAACTAATGTAAAAGAGCAAGAAAACTAACTCTTCCTTTGATGTTAAATGTCCAATTCAAATTTCGAATACAGAGATGAGTTGAAGTTTTTCGTTAGTTCGCTATAGAAAACAAAACTCTGTAAAAAACATCAGTTCCTGCACAAGGATTCTTGTCATTCCAGAAATGGACCATTCCTGAATTTTTTTGAGCTTGGTTTAAATTTGGTTAGCAGAAAAAACATACTTTTGAGTTGTTTGCCAGGAAAACCTATTTTACGATTTGACAACAATTGCAAATCACTGAAATTAGAAAAAAATTCCTTTAGCTTTCAACTACGTCAAAAAAACTTACTTGAAAATGCAAAACAATCAGAAAAAATTGTGCACAAAAACATTTAGAGTTGCAACCTTTCACACGCCGGACGGTGACAACTAAGAGACGGAAAGAACTAAGTCGAAGAAAAAGTATTGAAAAAACATTTTTTTGGAACAAATGAAAAATTCAATAACAGAAAAACAGCCGGTAACACAAATACCACCATTAAATACGCCGTTACCATTTATCGAGCGTCTGCTAAGCCGACAATAAGTGGGAAGACGACCATTGAGCCGAAAACATAGACAAATACTATAAGACATTGACACCACCAAAACTTTGATAAATCATGTGGACCGAAGGAAACTTTCAAATGAAACAAAAATGGAAAAAATATGCGAGCAGGGGTAAGCAAAATTACATGAGAAAATCAATAATACTTGCAATTACATAAAATAGTAATTACAGCACAAAAAAATCCTTATAAAAATTTTTCAAGAAAATTTGTTCCCGATAACAAGAAACTGATTTTCTATACTGTATAGATTAACTGAAAAACACTGAAAATTGACACTAAAACGGTCTCTATTTTTTTTAAAAAAACTTCAAATGCTGTTTCTAAAAAATGGAAACAGTTAAATGAGAAAACAACTAAGATAGAGCCTTGCCGAAAACGTTGCAAAATTGCTAACAACGTAGGAAATTCAAAATCTTTCGGGACAAGATACTTGACTTGAAATGAGCCAACTGTAAGAAAAACATCTAGTAGCTGACTATACTACAAAAATTCTAGAAGCTGACTTTACTACAAAAATTATAGTAGCTGACTTACAAGCAAGATCGTTGAGAAAGAAACGCAATCCTTAAATACGATTAAACTCACCCTATTTATTCAAAATATACACGGTCTTGTTTCGATTCGAGCAACATTCCAAAGAATAGGGAAAATTGCGGACCTGTATGAAACTAAATTCCGTCAAGAAACACTTAAACAACTATAGACTGATTTTTGAGAAACCCTTATTTTGCTACTTGCTTAGCACTTTGAATCTATCATTCCGCTTACTTCAACGTTCAAAACCAAAATCCAATGAAACTGTATTTTTCATATTCATTATTAAGCAGCAATTCTCGCATATTTTCAGACTGCAATCAATATGCAACTCATAACACAACAAAAATGACCCTGAATTAATTTATATAAGGAAACCAATCACAGCGCAACTATCTGAAGAGAATCATATTTTAGTACGACTGACAGACAAATTATCGAATCGAAACTCTAATAGCAATCCATGGCGACGTGAACAGCTTGTGATTCGGCCATTACTTGTTCACATACATGAATGAATGAAGTCCACTTCCGCTCTTGTTCACTAACAACTTCTTCAGTCCGCCTTCCGATCGCAACCTGAAAAAAAAACAGACAAAAAATGAAGTTCAGAAAGGGGAAGGTACAGAAATTGACTATCCTTAGACAGGTGTTATTATTACCACAACTTTTATTATTATTAAAACCTAGAAATTCAACCTTCGGGCTTTTTGTTCCGATTACAAGCAAACTTTCCCACTGTTGTGAAATTTGGTCGTTAGACTTGGTCGGCTACTACAAACATATTTGGTCCTCATGGCTAATTTGTGAAACCAGAGGCGAATTTAGGGGGGGAACCAGTCCCCCCCCCCCCCCCCCTCGGGGATTAGACCTCCTGCCGACCCAAAGCGTCCCCCTTTTGTACTATTTTAGATATCCATTTTTGGTGACAGACCGTAAAATTTTTCTAATGGCTCCTTCGGCGCCAATATATACTAATTTTGAGGGGGAGCACGTGCCAAAAAAACGCAATTTTAAAGTCAAAATTTATCAAAAAAATGCCCAAAAATCCTCACCCCCCCCCACCCCCTCGAGAAAGTTCTAGATCCGCCACTGTGTGAAACCACACATTATACCAAAAAACTTAAAACTTAAGTTTATATAAGGTGCTGGAGAAAAGCTGACTTTTATCCTGCAGCCAAATTCCATAACCATGGAACCGGAAGATTTCTCAGGGTTGTGCAAGTTGACCGAACTTTTTTGGATTTTTTAAATGGTCCACGCAGCGTTGCAAAAGGACAATGTGATCAATAACTGAATTAGCAAATTTTCAACTAAGGGTTGACAAAGAGCCAGAGGCTCTTTTCCAGTTCCCCCCTTTGTTAAATTACAAAAAGAGATGTTCAAAAATTGTTCACACGGCAATTTTCATAATAGAAATGTTGTGAAAATCTTTTCAGCTGTTCACGCTGACACGTTTTAATGCAGTTTATAACATTAAAAATTATTTTAAAAAGACTTTCATGTAATGAATTTCAGAAAAAAATGAAGGGGGGAACTGGAAAAGAGCCGAGCCAGAATTTCTTGAAGTGAAACGCTGCGCATCAGGTCTCAAATTGATTTTTTCATGATAGCAAAAATTACTTTTCTAGGATGTCATCAAACCGCTACTGCGCTACTGGCTCCATTCCTTTGTAAATTAAATTTTGCTTGAAGCTCTTGCATTTACTCCATACCTCAATGTGATGAACTAGCATTCTGTCACTTGATGAGTCACTTAGAAATTTCTCCAGCCAATCAGGGACCACCAACTTTTTACCATCTGAAGTTAACAATTGCTTTTTTTCGCTCTCAGTCTTAAGCTGAGAATCAGCAGTCTGATTATCATTCGCAGATATGCAGAGAAGCTTCGCGGCCAGTGACTTTGTCTGATAGCTGAAAGCAGATTTGGATTCAGTTGAAACCTTCAAATTGCTCATAATTAATAATTAATATCTACCCCCTTGAAAAAAACCATGAGAGAATGGGGTATAGACTGGCGATCAGTTGATCCGCAGCCTGTTGCCAAATCTTTTAAATCTCCAAAACCTTGGGATTTTCTCTCCGTTTTGTAAAACAATCAGTACCTCAAAATTCGACCCCTCAAATGCCATGCCTACGATTTTTCTTTAAATAACATAGCTGCAAACCTCAATTGGCTTTCAAAAAACAACAACAGAAAACTAGCTGAAACATTAAGCCATTTCGTACCTGCATAAATCTGATTCCAAGGTACGCATGAATACTTCTTTGCTCACATACTTTCTCATTATGCTACAATTCTCCATCAATTGCATCATCTCACTGTGGATTACGTCATCGCAAAAGCATGAACAATGGTTGAAAAACTCTTCCGCATAAGTCTCAGACAGACAGTCATTTATATCGTTTTCGCATGTGATTTGGATGAGTTTGCACACAGATCCCAGCACGTAAACAGTTGAATCTTTCATCAAAATTAGAATCATATTCGATATATCTGTCAGTATATTGTGATTGGACCTAGAAGTGAAATACACGATAGTTCCGTAGGACCTACTTCTTGTTCAAAAGGCTGCGATCAACAGCGATAGGCAAGCTTAGTTTGAAAAAGTTAAGACACAGTCGAAGCAGCACTTCGCAAACACAAGCAAAACGCGGCAAAAAGAAATTAACAATCAAGAAAAAACAAAAACGTCTGTAGAGAAACTAAGCTCTCAATAGCAAAAAAATTAGCGCAATTACATATTGAAACTAAGGACCTCTAACGTTGAGTTATTCATAATTTTGTCTTAAAAATTTTGCAGTTCGATAGTGGAGTTCTATCTCCTTTTTTAATAAAGTGAAATGAACTTTGGAAAAATCAAACAAAAATCATACCGCGATTAATCAAATTGAGCAAATTGAAAACAACACAAGACTGCTCGTATCAGGGCGAAGCCTTGAATGTTCCGACTGCCTTTTAATGTTTTTGGAGCAGTAATAACATAAATATCATTAACAAATTAAATGTAATAAAAAAATGAAAATCTTTTCTATGAAAATCATCCCCCCACACGCATATAAACTACAAAAGCATAAATTTCGCTCCTTGTAACAAATCAAAAAGGGCAAATAAGCTTCGTTCAACCAAATTGGAATGATTTCTAAGACGGATTAAATCTCCGACTACGCGTTAATAGCGCGAAATACATCGCGCGTTAATTGTCCCAAATTGGCCAAAATGGCAATCTTTAAACCCCCATAACTTTACGAAAAATGATCACAGTTGAAATATCGTTTCAAATTTAAGCTCAGCACAACGATAGCTTTCGATTGATATCAAAAAGTTGCGTCAAAAATGGCTAGTTAAAAAATCGAAATTTGTCTGAAGAAAAAATCCCACCTCAGCACAAATATTCCGTTACTTTCGTTACGAAAGTCGGAACAATAACAGTCTATATTAATATCCTTATCATTGGTTGTACTTATTAGCTGGTTTTTGATCAAAAGGAACACTTTGAAAATGAACACATTTTGTCGCATTAATATTGGTGTCGCAACAATATTTGCGACTTAGGTTGAAAAAAAAGAGTTCATACTATAACACAAGCTTTGCTTGTGAAAACAAGCTTTGCTTGTGTAAAAAGGAGCAAAAAAATGTAAAAAAAAACAACGTTAGACTTGGTAGATTTACAAATTACTGAACTTTCAGTTGTAGTAAAAAAAAATGTTTAAATCGTGACAAAACACAAGAACTAACTAAAACAATTTATACATAAAAATTTAAAATTTGAAAAAACAATTACTACCGAAAACGGGCCTTACCTAATTAATCAATGGCAATCAATCATTACAAATAAAGTCGCTTTATTTGGCACACATCCACCAAAAAAAAAAGAAAACTTAAATGAAAGAAAAATCTTCAAAAATTGCAAGATATTTTTGAGTTACTATTAGCTATAATCAGTAAAATAAATAGGATAGGAACTTTCTGTGGTACACAGCAACCGGCTTTTCTTGCTCCTATTTAGTGTTTAATAAATAATGCGCTGAAACAAATCAGAAGACCGGTGAACTATCGCATGTTTCACAACAAGGTTACCCCATTTTACTCTCTTCCATAAATATACAGGCACACCGCTCCATCATAACCGCCAGACAGTTGGTAGCACAATCTCGCATGTCCCAGTGTGTGCTAATACAGGCATGACTGAGGCAGTCTTTGAGGGAGGCTTCTGATTGGCTAACCCCAAGCACATTTTTCTCCACACTCAGCAACTCTAAAACAGTAAAACTAAAATTCTAAAAAAATCTAAAAACTAAAATAAAACATCCTTATGCATTAAATAAGAGGCCTAACGTTTATTCCCACCAGCCCCTGGTTTAAAAAAATCAAGAATTAAAGAAAAATGCGTTGTATCAAATCACAATCTCCTGAAATGAAATTATCTTAGAATTTATAGATAAGAAATAAACAAAGAATTAATTAGTATAATTAATTTTGCAAAAAAAGCTCCCCAAAGAAAGGACAGACAAAGGTAGACAATGTACCCACTAGACTTCTACCCTACATTTATAAGATTAAGTAGTATACCTCATAAATAACGAACAAATAAACTGAGTTCAATCCAAATCAAATACCTCTAAACGCATACATAAAACTACTACCGTAAAAACGATTTTTTCAAGGCATTATTTCACTCTAATGGTCCCTGATTACCACCTATAGCAGTGGATGTCCTTTAGTTACTATGCTAACGGCATGGTTTGTATAAAATACAGCAGACGGTAATATTTTTTCCAGAAGTGCTCAATTTAAACTCTATTTGGACCTAAAACTCGCAAGTCCAAATTTTCAAGACCAAATTTTCTTCATTTTTAGACCATTTATCGAAAACTGTGGATTATTTTCAATCATAAAATTTAGAAAACCTTGCGCTTCGAATTGTCAGTGAATAAGATTAGGTAAATAGATTTAGTTTTATAGAAAGTAGAACAATTTTCTCAAATTTGATTTAACTGAGAAACTGCTTTTTCAATGCTTTGTAACATTATCTCAATAACTCAGATCTTTTTTTTTTAAGATCATTTATCCACGAGGGATAGGACCAACATACGAGCTGTACAGCTCATCACGGCGAACCGCTGTTGTGCCCCTGCTTAAGAACTACATGCAATTTTTTTGGTTATTTTTCTGGGCTGGGTAATGTTGCCTCACCCTCAAGCAACCCTCAAGATCTTCAAAATTTCAAAAAAAAATAGATTATTTATCAATTTACCTACTTTTTGGGCAATTCCAAACGTCCACAATATCATCTGTGTGTTTCTGCAAACACAATTTGAGCGCCTTTTCAAACACTTTCGGCTCATTTTCGTCCACTGAGTAAAACATGTTGTCAATCAACAGTTCTTCTGGTACAGTTAACTGTATATGAAGCGGCAACGCGGTTAAAATATCCAATCGCAAAATAACTGGCTCAAAAATTTTGTCCGTCGACCAAATATGAGTTAACAATACTTTCAAACAATTCGGGGCTTCTTCGTTTCCAAACAAATACGGCAGAACTTTTACGAGAGCACTCACTGGTTGCGTTTTCAAAATGAACTTTTGATTGTTTTCTGATTGATGCACTGATATATTATTGCACAGGTAATTTGTAATTTCTTGCTGAACAGATTTGTCCCCAGCATGAAATAAAGCGACTAGAGATTCGTAGAAACAAGCCTTGCTTCTGCTTCGTCTGATATAGTCTTTCAGAACAATATCCGTGGATATTTCAGGATGTTTGAGAATGATTCTAGGATCCAATGGAACCTAAATGAACCTCAAGCTAATATAATTGACGCCGCTAGCTTCTTAAGATAATTTCACCAGTTTTTATTCCGTTTAGCCGTAAGCCCGCGGATATAATTATTTTAAAAAATGTATGAAAACGTAGAAACAACCCAACTAATCACCAGAATCACGACGACAAACCAACTCCGAACGCACTTAGAATTTAACCTAAGCTAAAATAATTTGGAATGTGGTGAAAATCTTCTTCCCACCCCTAGTTCCAACTAGTTTGAGAGAGAGGATGATCAGTTGTTCCTGCGTGGTAACTTTCAGCCAATGAGTATCAAGTTAATTGAGCATAGATCTAAGCGACGTTATACCAACTTAAATAGCAATGATAAAATCTTCAGCCTCTAAACTTGATTTAGTTGTTTACTTATTTATTTAGTTGTTTGCTTAGTTATCGGTGGTAAGTGAAAAGATTTGTTTTATTGTGGATGCCGAATGTTTTTTACTATAATTAACTTAAATTCGCTCCCAAGAAAGTGACATTGAAAAAAAAACATAATTTGAACGCATTAAACTTTTTGTGCGCCAATTTCTGCAGTTCGTGCTGCTGAACAGTAGAAAGGAAACTATTTCGTCAACTAAATTATATTGAACATATGATTGGCTATTTTTCCTTTTTCCTCTCCCCCCCCCCCTCACATACGCATCAATTTTATATTTTAACGAATGGTTTACAAAGGTAATGTATACAGACTATATGTAATTGGAATAGCCTAATTAAACAGCATGCCAACTTTTTTAGCCACCGGACCAGGTAACAAGGAACCTAAAAACTTCAGGTGGAGTTGGAGTGGGGATGAGGAAACAGAAAAAGGCAGATGATCTAAACCTGTGATAAAATCCTGCTACGAATATCGTCCATCGAGTCTGCTGTCAAATCGACGTCAAGCAAAATAACCAAGCTGTTCAATTCAGAGTCCTCAAAAGTTTCTGCAGACAAAGTACAGGTGCATTCAGTTTGATTCAGAGTCAAAGATTCTAATCAATATTCATGGAACTGACATTGACATTATTGTTTCTTTTCCTATTATTCGTTTCAAAGCATAAAAACCGGCAACACAATTGTTAGCTTAACGCCATAAGACTCGCAAATGCTCATGTTTTTGTTAAAAATCAATATAAATTAAAAGCACTGCAATTATATTTTTTTTTTGGTCGGAAGCATTTGTTTTAAGATTTAGACATTTCAAAGACATAACTTTAAATAATTGTCACGTTAACTTGACCACAATGTTTTCAAAAAATAATGAACATGTTAAAAAAAATCCAAAATAATGGCTTGAAAATCCCTTAAATAAAAAATTACTTCGAATTATATACGCTTCGAAAGGCCTTCAACAAAATTTTCCGTTAAACTTCTCGTTCCACGTTTCACACGACATAAATAAGTGAAATCTACTATCAACAAAATTTTCCAAATAAAATTAAATTCTGACTCTTTGTTGTTCCTTTGATTTATTGCATTACATCCATAACGTCACTTCAGACGTGTTACTTTCTAAGTATTTTTTTTAACTAACCGTGGCAATTCTCCTAATGCAGAGGCGAAGCAGTATTTCGCAAATCGAAGCGAGGTGAGCTCAAGTACGTTCTCGCGTGTTCTAATATTAATTATCAAGCATTTCATTGGTTTATAGTGTATCAGCTGGATAGCCATTTGTGGCCCGGTTCATAAACTCAAAATTCACACTTGATTTTTACTTTCCTAATCAAATTTGTTGAGCTTTGAGATAAAAAATATAACTTATCTAAAAATTATTTGCCAATTTCAGATAGCATATAAAAATAAAATTAAGACAAAAATAAAATTTATATAAAATTTATTTGCCAATTTCAAATAGCATATAAAAATAAAAATGAGATAAAAAAATTTATATAAAGTTTATTTGCCAATTTCAGATAGCATATAAAAATAAAATTGAGATACAAATAAAATTTATATAAAATTTATTTGCCAATTTCAGATAGCATAGAGATAATGCTATCTGAAATTGGTAAAATTAAACTACATAGGATGGTTGCGACTGGTTGATTAAGTGAAACAATCTTAAGAAAAAAGCGTTGCTCGTATAACTAATTCCACCTGAACTGATATAAAATTACGAAATCTTTTCGCGTCGTAACATTCAAAAACCAAAAAATTCAGAAAAAATATACGCCGAACTTCTTTTTTGACTCTAAATTAGCAATAAAAAGGTCGAACATAAATTACTGCTCTCATAATTTCGTATTAAATTCCATCTGGATCAGACCCTTCCTCTTGTTTATCATTAAAAAAAGAAACGCAACAATAATGTAAAACATAATAAAGAAAAAAAATGGCTTCGCAAAAAATTGAAGGATTAAATAAATTTTAGGAAAATGCTAAGATAAATGAACAGATTTGATGACGATGAGATATTTGCGCTTAACAGAATTTGTTATCTTTTAGTATTATTGATCTCTAACTCAAAAGTTGGTATTGAAAATAATGGTTTTGAAATAACTTGCAACAATCGGCTGAGTTGAAATATTATATTTTTAATTTTATTACATGGTCGACTGTGATTTTTTTTTCTAGTTTATCCCTGAGTTCCACTGGGGGGGGGGGGATCTAAGATTATATCGATTTTTGACCAATGTTTCTGCGCCGCAGGCAAAATTTTAAAAAAAAGGTCAAAGAACGCACTTTGAGCACTTTTTGGAAAATCTTGACCAAAAAATCGCGTTTAGTTTATAAAATCAAATTTAGTCTATATTGGCGCCAAAGGGCGCCTTTAGAAAAAATTATTGTCCGTCAGCCACGAAAGGAAATCTCAAAATAGTACAAAGGAGAGACCATCCCCGCCCCAATCCCCCTGAACCCACTGGTGGTTCCACTATTTCCTCTATGATTAAATTCAACATTTTTTGTTGTTTTTTTTGTTTAAATCAGCGTACCAACCCTGGTACCCTGCGAGAGTATTTTCCACGTTTGAAGTCAAAAATACTGAAGTAACCTTTTCTTCCATGAAATTCCAATCAAAATCAGTTTCTACACAAGCGCATAGATTTTTTAAAGTGAGGCCAAGTGAATAATTTATTGGTTTAAGACTACTCAGCCAATTGTCGGTTTAGGGTCCGGAAGAAAACGGAATATTTATGCTCGGTGTGGTTTTTTTATTGGTCAGTTTTCGCCGATCGAAATAATAGTTTTCAACAAAAAATTTTTATACCCCATTGAAGATATCGACTTCTTGAGTTCAAATTTAAAAAGATATTGGCCATGTTCTGGACTAAATCATGCGCGCTTTGAAGAGTTTCTTCATGATGCTGAGAGCGTAACGGGAATTATTTATGCGTATCTATTTAGACATTAAAAGGACATAACTTAAAATAATTTGCACGTTAACTTGACCACAATGTTTTCAAAAATATAGAATATATTAAAAACAAAAGATTTTTTCCTAATCAAATTTTTTGAGCTTTGAGATAAAAATAACATTTATATAAAATTTATTTGCCAATTTCAGATAGCATATAGATAATGCTATCTGAAATTGGTAAAATTAAACTACATAGGATGGTTGCGACTGGTTGATTAAGTGAAACAATCTTAAGAAAAAAGCGTTGCTCGTATAACTAATTCCACCTGAACTGATACAAAATAACGAAATCTTTTCGCGTCGTAAAATTCAAAAACCAAAAATTCAGAAAAAATATACGCCGAACTTCTTTTTTGACTCTAAATTAGCAATGAAAAGGTCGAACATAAATTACTGCTCTCATAATTTCGTATTAAATTCACTTCCTGGATCAGACCCTTCCTCTTGTTTATCATTAAAAAAAGAAACGTAACAATAATGTAAAACATAAAAAAGAAAAAAAATGGCTTCGCAAAAAATTGAAGGATAAAAACAATTTTAGGAAAATGCTATGAAAATGAACAGATTTGATGACGATGAGATATTTGCGCTTAACAGAATTTGTTATCTTTTAGTATTATTGATCTCTATCTCAAAAGTTGGTATTGAAAATAATGGTTTCGAAATAACTTGCAACCATCGGCTGAGTTGAAATATTATATTTTTAATTTTATTACATGGTCAACTGTGATTTTTTTTTCTAGTTTATCCCTGTGTTCCACTGGGGGGATCTAGGATTATATCGATTTTTGACCAATGTTTCTGCGCCGCAAGGAGAGAAAGGAGACAGTAGCTCCAAAGTCGTTATAATTATCTACAGCAGTTTCAAAATTTTAACAATTTGAGTAAAACATGTCAAAATCAGATTAATCAGTTTTAAACAAGCACTCAGAGTCACTTATCGAGCGAAAATTAAGACGATAATACAGGGGTAGACAGCCGTTGAATCGAAACACCTGTGAGACCCAAAAAAATCGGATTTTGCCCTTCTTCACCCGACAATATCAGGTGGCCAACACAACATACAATTAAAGCAAAAATCGGAATCTAAACAATATCAGATTTTTCAATTTTAGACATAGAGGCGAAGCTGAAACTTCGCAAACACGAGCGAGAAAGCGGCAAAAAATCAGGAGCTTTAAAAGCAGAGAAATTCAAATTTTTCATGTAATAATTTGGAATGTAATAAGCCAATTAACTTTGCATGTATTAAATTAGAATGTATTACATCAAATGGCGTACAAATTATGAATTTCAAAAATCTCGCGAACAAATTCGACGTAGGCAATTTCCACAATGAGATTTAATTATACTGTTATATGAAGCAAATAGCTACTTTCGGTTCAATTGATGGAATAAAAAAGCATCAACTGTGTGGGCTTATTCATAATCAAATGTCAAAGCACTTGGCATAAGACTGCTCATGAAGCTTACCCATTTGCACCGAGAGTAGCACTTTAATTTCAACTTAGATACAAAAAAGACCGACATTTCTAAAATTTTCGACATTGGACAAGCACAAGACCGACATTTCACAAGAAATTTCCACGAAAATTGAAAAAACAAGATTTGTCATGGACTCTCTAACCTCAGACCTTGGGATACAAAAGCACGTTCTTTACCGCTATACTAAGTGGGAAATCTAGTGATTCATTAGGCAGAGTTCAGAGGTAAAAAACATATAGTCCCTGATTACAAGTCACTTGCTCAGGTGAAAAAACGTTAACTCCAAAAATTACTTAAACATAATATTCTACTGGTGATTTGGAATCTGACACACAGGGAATACGAAGCGAACTGAGCCAGGTGAAATGCCAATGAAATACTAAACTAGATACACAGGTTGAAAAACGAATAGAGACATTCACAGATAGACCGCTAGCTAGGTAGTATCTTATAACCTTTATAAATAAAAAGTTCATGAATTACCCACCTCATCCATCAAAACAGCATTGAAAAAAAGAACACTGCTACCAAACGCAATAAAATCCTAGTTGTAAAAACAACTGTCATGGGACCCGGAAGTTTTCATTAATTACAGATCAGTTGCAAATATAATAACAGTATCCAAGATTATTGAAAGAGTTGTGACCTCTCAATTGACTGTTTTTCTAGAATGTAATAAGCTTCTAGATACCAACCAGTCCGCTTTTAGCAGAAAACATTCAACAGAAACCTGCTTGTTGAAAACAATGAACGAGATTTTATGTCAACTTGACGAAAACGCTCTAGTAATTGTGCTTGGAGTAGACTTATCAGCGGCTTTCGATACGATAGACTACAAAGTTTTGAGTGATATACTAGACGGGCGGTTCAAAACATTAGGAGTGTCTCTTGGTCTCTCTTGCCAAATCTACACTGATGACACCTTGATATATGTATCACTAGATAGAAAAACGAGCCATTCAACAATAAAATTTGAAATTAATACAATCGTAACAAAACTATTTACTAAGTTCTATGAGCTGAAATTGAAGATCAGTCAAAACAAATATTGAGCGCCAAGTCGAAGAGAAAGAACCTGGAGCTTGAAAAAATAATTCAGGGAAACACGGAAACCGATCTCGTTCCTTTTAATACTTCTGTGGGCGTAAAGATAGATACGAATTTGAACTTAAAGAGACATATAAACTGGCTGTACTGCTTGCTATCTCAAACTCAAAAAACGGTACCGCAAACAACAGTTTTTAAACCCTGAAATGAAAACTTAGTGGCGAAAAGCCTTATTTTTAGCGGACACGATTACTGTAACGTGTTACTTAACTGGATCTCGAAATACAAGAACGCTGCATGTCGGTTCGTATTTGGAATCAAGAAGCACGAATCATGCAAAGTGCTGAAATACAAATAACATTGGCTGTCTATCAGAGAACGAAATGGTTTTAAATCAACGGTGATTATAGTGTTTAAATCAACGGTGTAAAGTAATTCATGGCGAGGATATACCTGAATATTTGAAAGATCTTTGCTCTCTACAGAGAAAAAGTGAGCTGAAAAGAGACCATAATTTTTGAAAGCTACAGTCAAAATTATCGTAACTCATTTGGAGGCAGTTCAATTTCTGTTTTAGCACCTAGACAATGGAATGGTCAACATGGAGCTTAGACGAGTTTCTGAACACATACTCAGAAAAACAATCGAAAAAGTACCGCTTCAAAACTGCTTTTAACCTACACTAGCTTTCAGCAGCAAAATGCGTTTTCATTGCTACGTTCATCGCGGATAAATTAAATGAATCGAGCTCTCAGCGAGAAGAACTGCTCAATTGAGAAAAGGCAGAAGCCTTTTCGGAAAATCGGCCACTTTGACAATATAAAAGATTGCTCCAACATGATTCTAGGATCCTCCCTAGTGTTTGGTGTTTGTCATAGAAACACAATTACTATTTCCTGCCCTGGTGGGGCAATATCAACCATGAAAGCAGTGACAATATCATTACAGACTTAGATGGACTCGAACCTCAAAACATTATTATAATGGAGGAAAAATAATCTGCCTTCAAAAATCTGTCAAAGAAACCTCATCGATGACGGAAGGATATATGAGAAAATTTTTAAACATTTCATAATTTTTTAGTAAAGCATCTTTTACTTGACAGGTAGAAATTTTTAATACTTCGCCTGTAAATCAAGCCTAGTGTAAGGCTGAATACTCATCGAATGACTGAAGATCAGGGACGAAGATTCATTGAACGGTTTCAGACTGAAGACTCTACGCAAAGCAAGCCCAGATCTTCGAATGCAACAAAAGCCGGTCCATTTTAAGGTCGAAAACACCTCTGAGTTTCAAAAAGAGGTGTTTCAAGAAACAAAATGACAGGCTATTCTTATTATTTGACTAGACTTGTGTTGTAGATTTCTGTTTAAATTTATCACGCTAATTGGTTTCATTTGTTTTTTTTGTCATCCATGCAGAAGCCGAACCCGGAAGTTTTTTATTCGGGTTGACAAGAGCTCATATAACTAGAACCCATTAAGATATGACTAACTTAAAAAAACTCATCTTGCAAAATGCAGAGGACGTGTGATTTGAAACCGCAATCACATGATTGCTGGACACCATCACTGCCGGAGCGCCACAGAAAATTGTGACAGATGCGAAACGGAGCTTCGCAACGATTGCGATACAACACACATATAAAAAAATCTAAGAGAAAACAAAATAGACTTGTTGAAAAATTAGGTGAACCACATAGGTGCCCAGCTAAAGCCAGGGGTACGTGTTTGATACTGAATAAAATTGCTATACTAATCCGGCACAAAAAAAGTGTTTAAAAGTTGGATTTTGCCTACACATTAGTTGTTCTTTACTAAAATAAGTAAGACTAAAATTTTTTTTTGAGATAATCAATTTTCCCAAGGAGATAATATTTATCTTATAAAAAATCAAGAAGTCGACGCTTCTGCAGGATCAACTATCGCAATCCTTTCAAATGAACTTTTCATCACAGATTTGATGGTAAATTTTACAAAAATTCAAAAAGTTTGTAAAAAAAAAAACGTTCAAAAGACTTTCCAAAATCCTCAACGTGTTTCTGCAAAAAGCAGGTTATGGGGGCTTAAGCAGAGAAGATTCCCAAAACCGACTTTGAGATTAAATTCAACCTGAGAATTGGCCGGGTAGCTTTTGCAAAACTTTGAATTGCTTGAAGGCCATAATCTTTTTTTGAACAAACTGGGCAAATCTCAGACGTGGGAGAGAAAAATCAAAAACTCAAAAAACGGTCAAATCGAAAAATTGACTTTTTCGGAGCGACAGAATATTTCCCTTCTTGTGTAAATTTTTTTGCGAGTGTTCACTACAACAGAAATGCTTCCCACTACCCAATAATAATAATAATAAAAACGGTCAAAAATCAAAAAGTCAAAAATCAAAATCAAAAAAACTTGGGTGTAGCCACCAAGGCAGGGAAGCTTTTCAAAACAGTTCTATTCATTGAAAACAAAAACTCATATTTGAGAGCGGTAGTTTTCGAGAAAAAGTAGAAAAAATCAAAATATGATTCAAATAGTCTCCCACACATTTCGAAGGCCGTAGACAGAGAGGTCAAGTAAAAAAAAGACTCTAGAGGAGTATTTAGGGACTCAGGGGACTGGGTGGCCTTTCAATTGAAATCCTTCTTTTGAAAATCATCAGAAGTTTCAAGAAAAACAACAATTTTTGAAAAATGTGAAAAACGAAATATACAAAAAATTCGTCCAAGATAGGACATTTGAGCCGTCAACAGATAAGCAGACAAATAAATGGCATCCCAGGTATATTCGTTACCTCCAGGCAAAGTTGGCCGGGAAAGCTAAATTTGAATACATTATGAAAGAAGGTAAAGATGAGTCCAGAGAACAAAGTTGTTGACGGGGAAAAATCTAGTACCCGATTGCAATACCCTTGCTAATCGCAGGGTTAAAAAAGTGAAACATTTTTCAAGCATGAAGATTCAGAAAATCGTGGTTAAATATTTTGCTTCAATTTTAGAGTTCTCTGCGGAGGATTTGAAACTAAACTGATGGAGATGATGCTTGCTTTCATTTTAGTCGACCTATAAAGAATGCACCTGTAAAATTTAGTATGTCTTGGAAAATTAACAGATGTTTTGACCTTAAGCAGCTTAAGAAATGTGCAAGCTTTTGACGAAGGTATATATTTCGGCTCTTGAACCAGAGAAGTACTTCCTTGGCTTCAATAAATTGAATCAACTCTGAATTCTCTGAATCTAATACAAAAATGAATAAATCAAGAAAAACTTCTTTGCAGCTGTCTTGGAGCGGACTACTTATCAGTTTCTTGAAAATTCGCAGAGGCCAGTTTTCATTACATTTAAGTATCGACAACAACAATTTGAGGTACATTCTTTGAATTGATCCGGGCAAAACTGCGAATGAAAATTCGGTCATTTGCAATTTTTGTTGAAATTTTCCTGCTATACTGAGCAAACTGTACGCTGTGAGGTCTTGAAATGCAACAACAAACTTTTCAATTATTGTGTCATCTCGCACAAAACTGTCACAGTCTAGTAAAAAAGATACGGCATTGAGAGCAATCAATACATCTGAGCTATCGTCGCTTCCATCTATTGTCATTTCAGATCTAAATTTAAAAATTTAGAGCTAAGATATTTATAAGACAATACTTTTATGTCAATTCTTATACAGTGGCTAAATCGCGAAGATGCGGTCATTGAAAAGCTGAGCAGTCGGCATCAGACATGCTAAGCGTATCTTTGCACCAATCGCGATACAATAAATGTGCCAGTTACAGTTTAACAAATTTATGGCAACAATGAGCGACATCGCTGACCAAAAAAAAACATTGTAATAGTAGTAGTAGTAGTAAAAGACTTTATTATTTTATACAAATAATTGCATTAAAACATAAGGCTGAGGGGACGGGAACAGCTGAAAACAAGACAGTCTCTGCCATACGCGGAGAACTGACCGACGATACACAAAATTTAAAACGTAGCTAGGGTTACACTCGACAAGAAGAACATCTACATTTAACAAAAAACGAACAAGACGAGCACATGTTTAAAGTTGTGGTTCGATAAAGCAGGTATTTAAAAAGCGAGGATTTGAACGACTTCAGAGGGCAGTTGATGTCAATCGAAATCGAGTGAAGGTCATTAGCAAGAGTTGTTGCTCTGGTGAAGAAGTTGTCTTCAGTCCTAGCTTTACCATGTCGGCTAACAAGGAAAGGCCTTCTTGTAGAACCACGAGCGGCCCGGTCGACATCAGAGTAAGAGACGTACTCAAGGGCATCGATATCGGTTTTGTCGTTCAGGATTTTCCACAAAAAGACGGCATCGTTGTATATGAGTTGGTAGCAGAATGGAAGCTGACGCTGTGACAAGAGAGCAAACTTGAAGTCTGGACAACCTGTTGACCATTTCAGGCAGCGGTGCTGAAACTTCATTAGCTTACGTAGGGACGTGATATTTGGTCGCCACGCCGGAGAACAGTACATAACCACAGGGTATACAGTTGACTCGATGAGTTGGGTCTTTGTACGGGCGTTTGCATGGTATGAAATAGCGCCACGCATCAGATACAGCATTGCCATGCCTTTTGCCAGTTTGTTTCGAACGTGTATTATCCACGTGAGGTTACTCGAAATAGTAACACCCAGGTCACAAACAGTAGCCGCATTACATATCGGCGCATTTCCAATCGTAACTGCAGGATTGGATTCCCTTGATGAGATCAAGCGAGTCTTATCGGGATGAAAACGAAGTCCATTCGCTTGTGACCACGTTACCATCGAATCAATATCAAGTTGGAGTTGATCAACGTCATTGTTCAATATTTTGCTATCGTCGGCAAATAGATAACAGGTGGACGATGTTAAACAACCAGGAAGGTCATTTATAAACAAAACAAACAACAGTGGACCAATAACACTGCCCTGAGGAACGCCACTAGGAACATAACAAGGGTTCGATAAGGTTTGGTTTACCCGTACAACTTGACGTCTGTTCTCAAGATAGCTGCTGAAAAGCGCCAGAAACATATAATCAAATCCATATCTTGAGAGTTTGCTGATGAGCAAAGAATGAGGTACGGTATCAAATGCTTTCTGTATATCGAAGTAAACTACATGAAAGGGTTCGTTCCGTTCGTTTGCCCAATACAATTTGTCAAGGAAGCAAACAAGTTGTGTCGCAGTTGAGCGTCTAGACATAAAACCGTGTTGATTTCTATTAATTTGATGGCGGACTTTTGGGTAGATAAAGTTAAAAATTAAACGTTCTAAAATAAGCGACAACTTTGGGAGAATGCTTATTGGACGATAATTCGAGGCGTGCATCGCATTCCCTTTCTTCAGAATAGGAGTAACAACAGAAGTTTTCCACATATGAGGCCAGGTACCCGAATGGAGTACAGAAAGAAACAAGAAAAACACTGGGGTGGCAAGCAATCGGGCTTGACTGCGAAGAATGAACGGAGGTATTCTGTCGTAAGCAAAAGAACAGCTGTCGTCAACAGAGGCCAACATCCTTTCAACGATGTCAATTGATATCGAAATGTCAACCAAACGAGTGGTCGGATCGGAATTAAAAGGAATCGGGATATGGTCAGAGACTTCACTAAAAACGGATGAAAAATACAAGTTAAAAAGGTTGGCTCGTTCACTGTCCGAACATGCCACTAGCGAATTCCAGTTAATAGTGCTAGGAAGGGTAGTTTTCCTCATTGTGCGAAGAAACTTGAAGCATGCCTGTGTGTGGTTTAGAGACATAAATAGAACAGATTCATCCATCACAATAGACTGATCTGCTTCAGCGCCTAAAGTCCGCAGCAAACATGCATCACGGAGGTTCCAGTTCTTTATCAAACGTCTTTGAACGGTTGATTTGCGATTGAGAAGATGCACTGTGTGCGAAGAATAGTAGTATGGTAGCAACTGTCTCCTAATCCTCTTCACAGTAAGCGACAAATTTGTGGGATATTGTAGCAACTGATACCAAGTATCGTAACAAATATTTAAAGGGGCGTTCCATGCGACATAATCACTTAGGAAAGCAGAGTGTTCCCAAAACATGTTCTCTCGGAACGAGCACTTTGAATAAACCGGGATTTGACCGTGTTTGAGGCAGCTATTGCTCCGAAGAGAAATTTCTGCATGTATCGGCAGATGATCAGATATTACGGATGCTTGATCAACATACGAGTTAACAACAGCACCTGGAGACGATAGAACAAGGTCCAAGATGTTGCCAGCCGCGTGTGTGGGTGTTTCGATCACCTGTTGCAAATTGTAGGAATCAAAGAAATGCAGCAGTGACTCAGAGTGGCCACATGAAGCTGATAGAGTGTGCCAACAAATATCAGGTAAATTAAAATCACCTAGCACGACAACAGCCCTAGCTTGAGATGGAATGTTGTGCGACTCACAGATCATAGTAAAGCGATGATACATACTTTCAACACAATGTACTATACTGCTCGCGTCCAGACAGTAAGCAGAGGATCGAGGGGGACTGTAGACCAGCAATATAAGACAAGACTGATCTGCGGATAAAACTACACATGCACACGAAAAGTCAAACATATGGTCTGTGATATCAATTACTGGGAAGGGACAGGAACTGTGGCAAGCAATAAACACGCCACCGTGTTGGCCAACTTGTCTGTCAGAACGAGACAAAATTGAATAGGTAGCAGTTGGCAGAAGTTCGGAAGAATGCACGTCACTTGTTAACCAGGATTCCGTGATGCAGACCAACGTTGGTTGGTGAATACTTAAATAGTTACAAAGTTTCCGGCGCCGCACAAATGAGAGGAGAGATTGGCAATTGTATAGCATTGCAGATAAAATTTCAACGCGATTTGGTTGTCAGATCTTGACTTCAACTCCGTCATTGTAAAGCTTCAGGTTTCGTATTTTCAGATTACCTGGAAGAACATCGTTGTTGATGAGTTCCCGGCGCTTGGCAAGAAGTTTGGATTCGATCACATGATCGGCTGGAGAAAGCATTCTTGATATGTACACAGGGAATGCAAATGACTTCAGATCACTCGACCTGTTGAGCAGTTTTCGAATTGTCCATTCGCTTCGAAACCTCACAAGCAGCGTTCGAGCCCGTTTGGGAGTCGTATCCGTTGACTGTGGACGCCCCATACGACGTGCAGATACCACGTTTTCGTCGCCTGGTTCGCCAAGGTGCTTTAAGATAGTAATCAGCTGTTGTTCGTCGTTTGACTGTTTCGCGGAATTGCTCCCATCAGTTTCGGGAATGCCGTTGATTCGCAACTCGAAGGAATGCTCTTTAGTCACTTGAGTGGCTGCAGGAATCCTTATAGAGTCAAGAGTCTCCTTAACAGCTGATTTGACTATGTTCTCGGAAGGATTCTCACTGGTAGTGAGACACTGTATCGAGGACTGAAGAGGGGCGATTGCTTCGTTAATAGTGCGGTGAATAAAATCACGGTCTGGTGATTGCTGCTTAACAAGGTGTTCAGCTATAGGTAAACAAGTATCGCAAATCCATAAGCAACCTCGGATATCTCCAAGAAGCTTATACATATCATTTGATAAACCAACACAAGTCTCATGGTGCCAGTTGCTGCATCGAGAGCAGAGAATTCCTTTTGATTTCACATCTTTTTGACAGCTCCCACAGGGGGCTGTAGTAGTTGAGTTCACACGAGAACGCATTTATAAACGAGTAAGCAAATAACTAATGGAACAATCTCACCCGAGAGACGTGATGACTGATGTAACCCCAGAGACGCCAGGGAGAAGTTCCACTGCAGAGGTGACCAGATCCAAAGAGAGCAGAAGCTGGTAGACCGTGTGAGTAGAAGGCCCGTGTGATCAGCAGTTCCCGACCATTCAGTATATAAAACTATTTAATAAGTTTATCACAACAATTAGGCTAAATCACTGATAATCACTGAAACTAGAAAAAGTCCCTAATAAAGACTGGCTGACGTCAAATCTTCAAAGAGCGTTAATTTCACAGACAAAATAGGTCTCAAAAACGAATTCTTTTCTACCTATAATAATCATAATAATAATAATAATAATAATTTTAGGTGAGTGAATTGAGAAACAATCCAATATGTACAAATACAAATACGTGGCGTGATTTCCGTTTTTGCTAGTTCTATTTGTTTTAATTTAGTTTAATATTCCAGACATTGTTTGAAAGAGAATCTGTAAAGAGAATCAGAAACAAGCTACTGAAACTAATCGAATCATACTTGACAAATCGAGTACAAGTCGTGCGTATAAATGGAGTAAACTCGTCACCAATACAAGTTACCAGCGGTGTCCCGCAAGGGAGTATTTTGGGCCCCATACTTTTTCTGGTTTTTGTTAACGACCTCCCGAAAATGTGCGATCAATTGTTTCCCCTACTTTTTGCCGATGACGCCAAATTTCTCAGCGTGGGTTTAAGCACAATAGATATTCAAAGTGATTTAAATGCGTTGTATGACTGGACCGTTAGAAACAACATGCCCTTCAATATGGATAAATGCTGCCTAATTAAAATGTCCAAAAACCAAAAACGATTGCTTTTTGGAAACGAATTGATTAAAACAGAGGAAACTCAATCTGATTTGGGGCTCATGCTTTCCTGTGACTTAAAATGGAATTTGCATATAAATAAGGTTTGCTGCAAAGCAATTCGTGTTTTTCACATGATAAAAAGAAGCGTATCGAATCTTGGACAAAAAGCTAAACTGGATTTGTATAAATCTATGATCGTACCAATACTCACGTACGCAAGTCCATGTTATGGATTAAGTAAATACATTATTACGGAGCTTGAAAATGTACAAAGGCGTATAGTTAAATGGATAATTCCGCATATGGATTCGTACAAAGATCGGTTAATCGAAATTTCACCATTGCCACTGCCAATGTATATACAGATCAACAACCTTTTGTTGCTGTCAAAAATTTTATCGAAAAATTATGATGTTGACATGTTGAAAGTTCCATCGTATTCCTGTTCCTCGCGCGGTTGTATGTTTCAGCTCGAGAGGCCGAAAAAGAAATTTTTGGAGGACGAATTCTTTTACCAAACATGTCGGCTAGCGGATGTGATCAAAATTGACGTGAGAGAAACAAGCAGACTGAAGAAGCGAATATTGTGGTTATTTTGGAGAAAATTTGAGAAGGACTACGAACAAATGAACAAGTGCACATGGAGAATTGCTTGCGATTGCACAATGAATGACTGTAGAAGCAAAACTTCACTATAGAACGAAAAACTGAAAGGGGGAAACCCCTTGTGCTACGAGCACAAAAGCCCTATTACTACTACTACTACATATACTCTATATATACGCTGTATGTTTGGACTATCTATAAAATTGTTAGTAAAGTTAAAATACCAGCTCGTTCTTAATTCTTAAAACTGATGTTTTTTTAGTATCCGTAACCTCATATATTCTAATCAACCAATTTCTGAACTGTAACCGAACTTCTTTTGTTTTGTTTATTGCTTGATTTCTGAATGTTGTGTTTTTGTTTGACGTAACCAATGAATTTTAACCAACTTTATTATTTACACTTTGCTATACTGATGCCTCGGCTTTTTACTGTATAGTAATTCAGGTGTTCTTTCTTCTTCTTCTTCTTCTTCAAAAACAGAATTTAGGGTAGCACCCAGGGGAGATATTCCCGGGAGATATTCCCGAGGTATAAGAGCTAAGATAATTATAAGACAATACTTTCATGTAAATTCTTATACAGTGGCCAAATCGCGAAGATGCGGTCATTGAAAAGCTGAGCAGTCGGCATCAGACATGCTAAGCGTATCTTTGCACCAATCGCGATACAATAAATGTGCCAGTTACAGCTTAACAAATTTATGGTAACAATGAGCGACATCGCTGACCAAAAAAAAAAACATTGTAATAATCACTGAAACTAGAAAAAGTCCCTCATGTAGACTGGCTGACGTCAAATCTTCATAGAACGTTAATTTCACAGACAAAATAGGTCTCAAAAACGAATTCTTTTCTACCTATAATAATCATAAAAATGATAATAATAATAATAATAATAATAATAATCATAATAATTTTACGTGAGTGAATTGAGAAACAATCCAATATGTACAAATACAAATACGTGGCGTGATTTCCGTTTTTGCTAGTTCTATTTGTTTTGATTTAGTTTAATTTTCCAGACATTGTTTGAAAGAGAATCTGTATATACTCTGTATATACGCTGTATATTTGGACTATCTATAAAATTGTTTGTAAAGTTAAAATACCAGCTCGTTCTTAATTCTTAAAATTGATGTTTTTTTAGTATCCGCCACTTCATATATTCTAATCAACTAATTTCTGAACTGTAACCGAACTTGTTTTGTTTTGTTTTATTTATTGCTTGTTTTCTGATGTTGTGTTTTTGTTTGATGTAACCAATGAATTTTAACCAACTTTATTATTTACACTTTGCTATACCGATGCCTCGGCTTTTTACTGTATAGTAATTCAGGTGTTCTTTCTTCTTCTTCTTCTTCTTCTTCTTCTTCTTCTTCTTCAAAAACAGAATTTAGGGTAGCACCCAGGGGAGATATTCCCGAGTTCCAGTTTTCCAAAGTTCATTTGAGTTTGTGTTGATTTCTGCAGTTCTGACAATTACATGTCAGTCTCCAGGAGCATATATCTTCGAGATTATATTTATTGACAAAATAGTTTTTGTAAACTTTCGCGATTATATTTTTTGGATTTTCCAATTCGTCAAGATTAATCCCTATCTTTTGTGCAACTGTGTTTGCTAAGAATGTAACTCTTGTCCAAAACTCACTTTCTTGTTTCTTCTTCAACAGATTTCGTGTTTTATAGAAATTCAATTCCTGTGCTCTCGTGTTTTGTTCTGATTTGTATTGAACTTGAACAAAAGTTTCCCACTCAATATTATACCTGCCTTTCACTATGTTGACAAATGTCAAAAAAACGTGCACTTCGTGATACAACGATAGTGGTAGAATCGAAAGTCGTTTTAATCTATCTATATAGTCTAATCTATTGGTACCAAGGATCCACTTCGAAGCTTTTTCCTGAAGTTTTTCTATCATTCTCAATTCTGATTTATTTGGTTTCCAAAGAATTGCACCGTATTAAATGATTGGGACAATGTAGCTCCGGTATAGATTCTTTTTTCCAATCCAACTTGTACCATTAGCGATGTTTCGTTTTATAGTGAAAAATACTTTGGTTGCTTTCTCACATCTTCTTTCGACGTTTGCAGTCCATGTTAAGTCGTTCGATACAATTATTCCAAGATCTTTTTCTTTCTGTATTTGTTCAAGTGTCTTTCCAATCATTGAAATACTTCCGTTTCCCTTTAACTTTAGCGTTTTACATTTGCTGATGTTTTATGTCACCAAGTTCTGGCTACACCATTTCCATATTCTGGTCGCGTCAATTTGTAGAGTGATCGTGTTGGTAACAATAACTTTAAAATCATCCGCGTATCCGAAACAGTTTGACATAATTCACTCTGGGAGATCAATTATAAAGATTATGAAGAACAGAGGACCCAGTACTGAGCCTTGTGGAACTCCACTTTTGACTTCGAGTTCTGAAGAGATCGAGTTTCCAACTTTTGCTCGGTGTTTTCGACCTTTCAGGTAGCTTTCAAGCAGCTCCAACGCTCCTCCAGTGATGCCATCATTTTGCAATTTTTCTATTAATTTTTCATGACTGACCTTGTCGAACGCCTTTTTGAAGTCGAGGTATAGAGCAGTCAGTGTTGGAGATTCGAAGTTGCCAAATACTTCACTGAGATATAAGATCATTTGAGTCATTGTGGATTTACATTTGGTGAATCCATGTTGTTCTTTGCAGATATTAAGTCCAATGGCTACCTATAGGTTTTCGAAAATCAAGGTTTCAAGATTTTTTGAGAGGCACGCCAAGAGCGCAATGAGACGATAATTTGAAATATCTTCTTTGTCTCCGTCTTTAAATATTGGTATAAGGATACTCAATTTCCATAACGAAGGGTGGACATGTTTATAAGCAATTATGTTGAAGACGAGTGTCAGTGAAGGCCGTCAACAGTTAAGCAGACAAATAAATGGCATCCCAGGTATATTCGTTCCCTCCAGGCAAAGTTGGCCGGGAAAGCTAAATTTGAATACATTATGAAAGAAGGTAAAGATGAGTCCAGAGAACAAAGTTGTTGACGGGGAAAAATCTAGTACCCGATTGCAATACCCTTGCTAATCGCAGGGTTAAAAAAGTGAAACATTTTTCAAGCATGAAGATTCAGAAAATCGTGGTTAAATATTTTGCTTCAATTTTAGAGTTCTCTGCGGAGGATTTGAAACTAAACTGATGGAGATGATGCTTGCTTTCATTTTAGTCGACCTATAAAGAATGCACCTGTAAAATTTAGTATGTCTTGGAAAATTAACAGATGTTTTGACCTTAAGCGGCTTAAGAAATGTGCAAGCTTTTGACGAAGGTATATATTTCGGCTCTTGAACCAGAGAAGTACTTCCTTGGCTTCAATAAATTGAATCAACTCTGAATTCTCTGAATCTAATACAAAAATGAATAAATTAAGAAAAACTTCTTTGCAGCTGTCTTGGAGCGGACTACTTATCAGTTTCTTGAAAATTCGCAGAGGCCAGTTTTCATTACATTTAAGTATCGACAACAACAATTTGAGGTACATTCTTTGAATTGATCCGGGCAAAACTGCGAAGGAAAATTCGGTCATTTGCAATTTTTGTTGAAATTTTCCTGCTATACTGAGCAAACTGTACGCTGTGAGGTCTTGAAATGCAACAACAAACTTTTCAATTATGGTGTCATCTCGCACAAAACTGTCACAGTCTAGTAAAAAAGATACGGCATTGAGAGCAATCAATACATCTGAGCTATCGTCGCTTCCAT